GTATGTTGTGCTATTCAGACGTTGTTCCACACGCATTAAAGGGCCCAAATCATGCCAGGAGAACATGCCCCAAACCGTAACACTGCCCCGACCAGCTTGAAGGGTTGTACTCAGGCATGTGGGGGGCATGCTTTCATGCTGTTTCCACCAAATTCTCACTCTGCCATCTGCATGATGCAACTATGTTTCATCGGACCATGTGCCTTCTTTCCAGAGCTCGATTGTCCAATCCTGTGTTCCTGTGCGAACTGGAGACGTTTTATCTTGGTGACTGCAGACATCCCATACGATGCAGCGTATGGCTAATTTGCCTACAAACGTCAGGTGGGCATAACAATCTGGCCACTCCGTGTGTATAACATGTATAATCCCCTTCCTGAAGTATAGTAAATCACACGGCATCAGGTGCAGCCCCCTGCGACCTGCCCCCAGCATCTCCGAAGCGGACCCCTGGTCACCTCAAGAAGACGGGCGAGAAGGCGCCGCCTGGGTCTGGCGGGTTTGTAGACTTGCAAGGTGACGGACGAGCCTCGGGTGCCCTCTGGAGGAAGTGCTTCCGGCGCAACGGGCCTGGGCTTCCACCTCTGTGACCTTGGACGTGGCCCCTCACCTCTTCCCAGGCCTCACACACCAACCGGAGATGAAGATGAGGCACAGGGTGGAGGCGAGATTTCAGCCAGACAGGAAGCACCCGGTGCCTCCGGCTCCCAGAGGACAGATTCCATTTTCTTCCTCTTCTCGGAGCACAAGCGCCACCCGCTCCTTCCCACCCGGCCTTCTTCCTGCCCTCTCAGGCGGAGGTGACTCAGTGTAGCTGAGGTTATACTCTCGGGCACTATTTCTCTCTCCTTTAAAAAAAAAAATTGGCCCGGCCGGGACCGGTTTGGCTCAATGGATAGAGCGTCGATTTGGGGACTGAAGGGTCCCGGGTTCGATTCCAGTCGGGGGCATGTACCTTGGTTGCGGGCACATCCCCAGTAAGGAGTGTGCAGGAAGCAGCTGATCGATGACTCTCTCTCATCGATGTTTTTAACTCTCTATCTCTCTCCCTTCCTCTCTGTACAAAATCAATAAAATATATTTTTTTAAAAATTGGCCCTAGCTGGTGTGGCTCAGTGGACAGAGCGTTGGCTGGCCTGCGAACTGAAGAGTCCTAGGTTCGATTCCAGTCAAGGGCACAGGCCCGGGTTTCAGGCTCCATTCCCAGTCTGGGGTGTGCAGGAGGCAGCTGATCAATGACTCTCTCCTCATTGATGTTTCTCTCTCTCTCTCTCTCTCTCTCTCTCTCTCTCTCTCTCTCTCTCTCTCTCTCTCTCTCTCTCTCTCTCTCCTTCTCCCTTCCTCTGCAATCAATAAAAAAAATTTTAAAAAACAAAAAAAACACCGAATCCCTGTCGGGCACACCCAGGTTCACCTTCCGTTTGAGCATTATTTACTCAGCAACTGGCCAGTTGGCTGTTGGGGAGAAGGCGTTGGAGACGGCGTGCAATGAGGTGGGGTGACTGTCATTGGGTGGGCCCATCGGAGGCGCGGAACTGCCCCCGGGGCCAAGAGCCCAAGGGGGCATTGCTCCTCTCTCATCTCCACCCCGGGAGCCTTCCTGCAGCTTCTTCCAGAACATTGTCCGGAAGTGCTTTCTTTCTCAGCGCCGCAGGTCGCTTTGTTTGTCTCCGTGGTCCTTATCGGGCCTCTTCCTCTTCCATGTGCTTCCTTTTCCGTCCAGCATCCTGACTGAGTCCCAAGTGGGTCCCGACAGCGCTGGCCCCGGGGCTTCCCCGGCCAGAAGGATGTTACTCACCGCCGCCAGCCCCGCGCCTGCACCCCTGACCGGGCATCTGCATTCAGCATGCTCTCTGGCTCAAGCGGATGCTGATCCATTTGTCAGCATCTATTTTTAAAAAGTTATATCTCTTGCCGAAACCAGTTTGGCTCAGTGGTAGAGCATCGGTCTGCGGACTGAAAGGTCCCAGGTTCGATTCCGGTCAAGGGCATGTACATTGGTTGCGGGCACATCCCTGGTTAGGGGGTGTGCAAGAGGCAGCTGGTCGATGTTTCTCTCTCATCGACGTTTCTAGCTCTCTATCTCTCTCCCTTCCTCTCTGTAAAAAATCAATAAAATATATATTTTTAAAAATAAAAAGTTATATCTCTTTATTGATGTCAGAGAAGAAGGGAGAGGGGGACAGAGAAAGAAAAACATCCATGATGAGAGAGAACCGTGGATAGGCTGCCTCCTGCACGCCCCCTACTGGGGATGGAGCCCACAACTGGGGCCTGTGCCCTGACGGGGAATTGAGCTGTGACCTCCTGGTTCATAGGTTGATGCTCAACCACTGAGCACACCGGCTGGGCCCATGTGCCATCTTGTAGTGCTGACATGTGTTGCACTTCTAGATGTGTCCACCTGTGCATGCCTGTGCACTTCACTTGTTCACCTTCCTGCGTATTATTGCACTCTCACAAACGTGTTTCTGTCATAGTTTTATTTTCCAGGCTAGTCTCAAGTTGCCTCTTAATTGTTGGACAGTTAAGAAATGTAGTCTGGCCCTAGCTGGTGTGGCTCAGTGGATAGAGCGTCGGCCTGCGAACTGCAGGGTCCCAGGTTCCATTCTGGGTTGCTGGCTCCATCCCCAGTGGGGGGCATGCAGGAGGCAGCCGATCCATGATTCTCTCTCCTCACTGACGTTTCTACTTCCCTCTCCCTCTCCCTCCCTCTCTGAAATCAATAAAAATTTATTTTAAAAATAAAGCATGCCTCTTTAACAAAAAGAAATGCAATCTACTATCCCTCCTTGCACAGGTTGGCTCCAAGGCCCTTCCGTAGCAGCTCAGTGGTCGGCAAACTCATTAGTCACCAGAGCCAAATACCAACAGGACAACGATTGAAATTTCTTTGGAGAGCCACATTTTTTAACTTAAACTATATACGTAGGTATGTTGTTATTAACTTAATTAGGGTACCCCTAAGCTGGCCTTCACTAAAAACTCAAGGGCCCAAAGAGCCGCATGTGGCTATCGAGCCACAGTTTGCCGACCGCTGCCCTCGCTGCTCCTGCCCATTGGTGAGTTTCCTCCCGAGGTGATCGTGCCCGGGGACGCCCTGCCTCCGCTCCCTTGAGCACCGGGCACCACAGTCGCGCAGGGCACGCGGCGTGCTCCGGGAGGCAGAGGGGGTGCAGCTTGGGCACAGAGCAGGGGCTGCGACGCAGGGCAGGGACGCCTTTGCAAGATCGGCCACCCCATCCCTGGTGTTAGGGCGACACCCAGAGGCTCCCTCTGCATTTCCCGTCCCAAAGCCCGGCCACCGCTCCCCGTTGGGCGGCTCGGCCTTCCCGGAGCGCAGCGGGGAGCCGCTGGCACGGGCGCTGGGGAGCAGGTCCGGGCTTTCCCACGCTCTGCACGCACGCGTGTCCCGGGAGGAGCGGGCGGCCCTGCCACCGCCAGGCTGGCCCCGCCTCGGAGCAGCTGCGCTCCCGCCGGGCGGCAGCCTTTGAAGCGGCGCCTTTGTTCGGGCTGCTTCCCAGCTGGCAGCGCGCCGCCTGGTCCCCGGGGACGGAGGCCGGTCTCTGGTCCCCGGGATGAAGGCGCAGGCGCTGAGCCCAGACTCTGCCTCAGCACCTCAAACTGCAAAGCTGGGGTGGCACTGGGGGGCGGGGGGCACCTCGGCGTTTGCACCCTGCCGTTAAGCGATGGGAAGAGACCTGGAGAGCCGCCACTAACTGGGGGGAGAGGGCAAAGGTGTCTGCTTCTGGGCGGCCAGTGGACCTACCGGTTTATTGATGGTGAGAAAACAATAGAGGCGCTGGTGCTTTGTTTTTATTGATTTCACAGAGAGGAAGGGAGAGGGAGAGAGAGAAAGAGCGATGTGAGAGAAACATTGATCAGCTGCTTCCTGCACGCCCCCCACTGGGGATGGAACACGCAACCGGGACCAGGAATGGAACCCTGACCTCCTGGTTCATAGGTGGATGCTCAACCACTGGGCCTCACCGGCTGGGCTGGGTTTTGTTTTTATTTATTTTAAAAATATATTTTTTATTGATTTTTTTTATAGAGAGTTAAAAACATCGATGAGAGAAACATCCACCAGCTGCCTCCTGCACACCCCCCACTGGGGATGTACCCGCAACCAAGGTACATGTTCTTGAGCGGAATAGAACTCGGGACCCTTCAGACCGCAGGCTGACGCTCTATCCACTGAGCCACACGGTCAGGGCTGGGTTTTGTTTGTAAACAAAGCTTGGGTTAGTAGAGCCATAACCTGGGAGAGGCTCTTTCATTTTCAACCATAAAGAGCTTTTAAGCTTCAGTCCAGTATGCTTAGTACTCATACTGATGTAATTTTGAAACTTTTATGTGTCTGGAATCAAGCATGATTTTTAATGTATAGTGACCCATGCAGACAATCACAGCAGCTAGGAAAACCTGGATACACTTGAATAACATTCTTTTCTAAACAGAATTGCTCTTGGAAGTTCCTTTCAAATGTCAAAAGCGAACCTACACCGCTGAGTAACGAATGGAACAGATTTGATAGGGAGCGTGTGTGTATGTGTGTATGTATGTGTGTGTGTATGTGTGTGTGTGTAGGGGGTGGGGTTAGGCCCAGTGTCCCTTTCTTTAAGGCTCATTTGTTGATTTTAAACGCAGGCGCGGCCTCTGTGGCCTGTGTCCTTGGGGGGGAGGGGGGGTGTGCAGCGATGGGAAAGCACTGCTTTCGAGCAGCCCACGTTGGTCCAGTCCTGGTGCCTGGAGCCTTCTAATCAGAAACGTCAGCGCCCTCGGGAGAGGCCGGGCTCACCAGGCAGCATTTGGGAAGATCAGCGAGAGGGGATGGAGTTTGCAGGCCCGATTCCGCAGAATCCCGCCCCTTGGAGGCACGGTGAAAGGGGAGAAGGCTGACCTCCGACTTCTGGCGCCCCTCCCCCACCCCCTCAGGATCAAGCATCGCCCTCGTGAGGCCTCGTGGCCGCACAGGGCGCACAGCCCCCACCCACCAACCCCCACCGCGCCTTTTCTGCAAAGTCCAGCGTGGGGAGGGGGGCGGAGAGGAGGGGAAGCCCAGAGCACATGATGCCCCCCGCCGGGCCGGGCCGGCGCACATGACCCAGGCGGCCCGCGGGTCCTGGCAGACCTGGGCCGCGGCTACGGCACGACATGGCCTCCCCGCGCCTCGGGACCTTCTGCTGCCCCACGCGGGACGCCGCCACGCAGCTCGTGCTGGGCTTCCAGCCGCGCGCCTTCAACGCTCTGTGCCTGGGCAGCGGCGCGCTCCGCCTGGCGCTCGGCCTCCTGCAGCTGCTGCCCCGGCGCCGGCCCGCGGCCCCCGCCGGGTCCCCCCCCTCCCTGCCGCCGGCCCGCGCCCCCGCCTCCACCCGAATCCTGCGCGCCGCCCTGGCCTGCGACGTGCTCGGCTGCCTGGGTAAGGGGCGGCCTGGGTGGCCCAGCTGAGGCACAGTTAGGGCGCGCGGCCCGCGGGTGGATCTGGTTGGTAACTGGGAGAGGGAGCGGGTGGATCTGGTTGGTAACTGGGAGAGGGAGCGGGTGGATATGGTTGGTAACAGGGAGAGGGAGCGGGTGGATCTGGTTGATAACTGGGAGAGGGAGCGGGTGGATCTGGTTGGTAACTGGGAGAGGGAGCGGGTGGATCTGGTTGGTAACAGGGAGAGGGAGCGGGTGGATATGGTTGGTAACTGGGAGAGGGAGCGGGTGGATCTGGTTGGTAACTGGGAGAGGGCACGGGTGGGACCTGGTGGGTAACTGGGAGAGGGAGCGGGTGGATCTGGTTGGTAAGTGGGAGAGGGAGCGGGTGGATCTGGTTGGTAACTGGGAGAGGGAGCGGGTGGATCTGGTTGGTAACTGGGAGAGGGCGCGGGTGGGACCTGGTGGGTAACTGGGAGAGGGAGCGGGTGGATATGGTGGGTAACTGGGAGAGGGAGCGGGTGGATCTGGTTGGTAACTGGGAGAGGGAGCGGGTGGATCTGGTTGGTAATTGGGTGAGGGAGCGGGTGGATCTGGTGGGTAACTGGGAGAGGGAGCGGGTGGGACCTGGTGGGTAACTGGGAGAGGGAGCGGATGGGACCTGGTAGGTAACTGGGAGAGGGCAAGCGGCCCGCATGGGGCAGGGCATCTGCGTGCTCAGGAGCACAGAGGGAGAACCGTTCCCTGGGGAGGACAGGAGGACTAGATGATCCTCAAAATGAGACAGTCCCCACAAGTTACGGCCAACAGCCTTAGCCAGCATGGCTCAGTGGACAGTGTCACCCGAGGATTGAAGGGTCCTGGGTTCGATTTCGGTCAAGGACACGTACCTCGGTGCAGCAGGAACTTACAGGAGGCAACCAATAATATGTCTCTCTCACGTTGATGTTTCTCTCTCTCTGTCTGTCTGTCTCTGTCTCTCTGTCTCCCTTCCACTCTCTCTAAAAATCAGTGGGAAAATATCCTTGGGTGAGGAGTAACAACAACAAAAGTTATGTCCAAGAGACATTTGTTGCATATAGATAGGTAGATGATAGATAGATAGATAGATAGATAGATACATAAACACATACACATACAACCGGGTCTTTGCAGGTTGTGCAGGGTTATGGCCAGGGTGGCGTGGAGCCCGGCCAGGGCAGGGGGTGGGGGGTGCCGAGGAACAAGCGCGCAGCCTAACCAAGACCCTCAACCCACGCTTGCAGCTTGTGTAGTGTGTGAGGAGGATTCCATGTCTGTGTCTAATGGGAATAAAAACTCACAAGTAATGAGTGTGGAAGGAAGTGGCCCATAGCGGATTTGTGAAATTCTTCCATGTGGTTGTAAGATAAGGTGACCAGACTGTCCCGCTTTTGGCGGGACAGTGCCGATTTTTAACAATTTGTCCCGCATCCCGAGACTTTTTTAAAAACACAGCGGGACGCGGGACAAATTGTTAAAAATAGGGACTGTCCCGCCAAAAATGGGACATCTGGTCACCTAATTGTAAGAGGATGCAGCAAGTTTCTTCCTGAACTTCAGCAGTGTGCTCTTTCTAACACTCCTTTCTGTATGAATACGCCGTCAACACGGACATCAAAACTATAGCCAGCCCAAGAGGGTGTGGCTCAGTGGATAGACAGCCTGCGGACTGAAGGGTCCCGGTTTGATTCCGGTCAGGGCACAGGCCCGGGGCTGCAGGCTCCATCCCCAGTAGGGATTGTGCAGGAGGCAGCCGATCCATGATTCTCTCTCATCATGGATGTTACTCTCCCTCTCCCTCTCCCTCTCCCTTCCTCTCTGAAATCAATGAAAATATATTTTAACATCTATATGGTATATAGCCAAGAAGGAACTGATTTGCTATTTTCGTAGTCACTTCTTTTTTTAAAAATATATTTTATTGATTTTTTACAGAGAGGAAGAGAGAGGGGTAGAGAGTTAGAAACATCGATGAGAGAGAATCATCGATCAGCTGCCTCTTGCACACCCCCTACTGGGGATGTGCCCACAACCAAGGTACGTGCCCTTGACCGGAATCGAACCCTGGACCTTTCAGTCCGCAGGCCGACGCTCTATCCACTGAGCCACACCGGTTCTGGCTCGTAGTCACTTCTGAACTCCACGCAAAAACACAATACAGGAACGCGCGTATGGCTGATGGAGGTTTGTTAGTCAGTCCATGGCTTTGCCTCATCGCAGTTACTTTCTGTGTTCAGACCGACGTGTGTGTTACTCCCTCCTCTTCCTCCCCCTTCTTTCTCTCTCCCTTTCTGTCCATCTGAGAATCGTCCGTCCATCCGTCCGTCCATCCATCTGTCCATCCATCCATTCCTCACAGAGCAACAACTCAGCTTTAAATCTGCATCAGGACCGGTAAAGGACGGCTCACTCTCCCTCCATTCCCGCCTAGGTATCGTGGTCCGCGCGGCGGTGTGGCTGGGACTCCCTGACTTCGTTCAGAACCTGTCTGTGGGGAATGGGACAGACATCTGGCCTGCCGCCTTCTGCGTGGGGAGTGCGGTGAGTGCGCCCCCTCTGTCCGCCCCTCCTCCCTCGCTGAGCGCCTGATGTGCCCTGGTTTTCAAAGAGCCTCTCCCCCCCCCACTCCTCCTACTCCCCCCCCCACTCCCCCTACTCCCCCCCTCAGACCCAGCTCCCTCCCCGGAACTGATGACCAGGGGCCCTGGGGTGGGGTGCGGGCCTCTGTGATTTTACGGTGGCCTCTCCCTCCCTCACCCTCGGCACATGCACGCACAGTCCTGCAAACCTCACTTTAGGCTGCAGTCAGAACCAGCTGGCTGAAAGGGGGGAGGGGAGAAGGAGGGAGGAAGGGAGGGAGAGAGAGAGAGAGAGAGAGAGAGAGAGAGAGAGAGAGAGAGAGAGAGAGAGAAAGAAGAGAGAGAGGAGGAGGAGGAGGAAAAAAAGAAAGCTACTGTTGCATTTTGCCTAGTGAAACATATATTTAAATACACATGGTCTGCCAAGTTAACGCCTAGTGAGCGCTCTCGGCCCACGGAGGCTGCCTAGACCCGCCATCTGTAGAGAACTGTCAGCCCGCCCCCTCACAGCTGCCCATTGCATCCCCGGAGCATCCCCACTGCATCCCCACAGCATCCCCACTGCATCCCCACAGCATCCCCACTGCATCCCCTCAGCATCCCCACTGCATCCCCTCAGCATCCCCACTGCATCCCCTCAGCATCCCCACAGCATCCCCACTGCATCCCCACAGCATCCCCACTGCATCCCCACTGCATCCCCACAGCATCCCCACTGCATCCCCTCAGCATCCCCACAGCATCCCCACTGCATCCCCACTGCATCCCCACAGCATCCCCACTGCATCCCCACAGCATCCCCACAGCATCCCCACTGCATCCCCACTGCATCCCCACAGCATCCCCACAGCATCCTCACTGCATCCCCTCAGCATCCTCACAGCATCATCACTGCATCCCCACTGCATCCCCTCAGCATCCCCACAGCATCCCCACAGCATCCCCACTGCATCCCCACTGCATCCCCACAGCATCCCCACAGCATCCCCACTGCATCCCCACAGCATCCTCCTGCATCCCCACAGCATCCCCACTGCATCCCCACTGCATCCCCACTGCATCCCCACTGCATCCCCTCAGCATCCCCACTGCATCCCCACAGCATCCTCACTGCATCCCCACTGCATCCCCTCAGCATCCCCTCAGCATCCCCACTGCATCCCCGGAGCATCCCCACTGCATCCCCACAGCATCCCCACAGCATCCCCACTGCATCCCCACTGCATCCCCACAGCATCCCCACTGCATCCCCACAGCATCCCCACTGCATCCCTGGAACATCTGCTCCAGCTTCTCACACAACAGCCCCCCTTCCCCTCCCATGAGAAGGCCTCTCCTTTCCTGCCCGCACCCCTTCATTCTCAGCAAAAGTGCTTCTGGCCCCCAGACCCGTGAGCCCTCGGGCGGTGCACGCCCACACTGAGCTCTGGCTCTACGGGTACCCATGCCCAGTGCAGGCGCTGAACAAAGGCGCGCACCTGTCCCCGCCACACCCGCCCTGGTTGCCAGGCCTGCCCCGTGTGTCCCAGGCTGTCCTGGCGCCTCCTGGCGTCAGATGGCATGGAGGCTCAGCTCCGGCTGGGGGCAGCCTGGCGCCGGGGCCCAGGGGTCCTGATGGCCGCCGCCCTGCCCACAGGTGTGGATCCAGCTGTTCTACAGCACCTGCTTTTGGTGGCTGTTCTGCTACGCGGTGGACGCCTACCTGGTGATCCGGAGGTCATCGGGGCTGAGGTAGGCGGAGGAGGGGGCCGCTCCGGTGCCCTGGTCCCGGGAGAAGTGTGCGGCCATCAAGCAGGCCTCATGGCCAGACAGACGCCTGGCCTCACAGGGACAGCTCCTCCCCTTTGAGCCCGACCCCAGGCCCAGTGGGGGAGGAGTGTGCATGCACCCGTGGCTGCGTCTCTCACATCGGTGTCTCTCTCTGTCTCCCCCCTCCCTTCCACTCTCTCTGAAAATACCCTTGGGTGAGGATTAACAACAAAGACCCACTGTCTTTAGCGAATTCCCGGGATTGTGCCTCGAATTCCCGGGATTGTGCCTCCATCGCCATCATCTAGTTTATGGCACTTTAACTCTCCCTCCCCCCAATGTCTGTGCCAGTTAGTAGTCACTTGTAGCCTCTTTCAAGTCCCGCGTGGTTCAGGGTTCCGGTTCAGGGTTCGGGTACTAGAGGAGGCCGCTCACAAATGAAAAGAGACTGGAAAAGCATTCATTTGGGAAATGGGGGCCAGGCGGGAGCCCGAGAGAGGCCTGCTCCTCCATCCAGCCTTGCCATCCCTTCCATTAAGATTAAGATGATGGGCTACCCCCCTATCCCCCAGGCAGGAGACCAATAACAGCCAATCAGCGAATTTACTTCAAACTAACCGGTGGGGGCTGCTTCCACTACCAATGCCTAGTGACCCTTCAGAGCAATCAGGCTGACCAGCCCTCAGGACTCCCTGCCCACGGCTCTCCGTGAATAAAACAAAGATCGACTCCCGCAGTCACTGTCCATTCCCCCTCCTCGGCCCCCTCAGCTGCCAATCCACTCTCTGAGTCTAGATCTGCCCGCTCTGGACAGTCCCCACAGACGGAATCACAGCTGCACAACCTCTGTGTCGGCTTCCTCAGCTTCACGTAAGGTGTCCACGGGGCGCCAGAGGGCAGCAGCTGTCAGTGCTCACGCCTGCTCGTTGCTGAGTCACGTCCCACCGCAGGGCCCTGGGCACGGGATCCGCTTATCACTGATGGGCACTGGGGGGGGGGGGGGGGGGCGGGGAGCTGCTCAGGCTGGCGATCAGGAATAGAGCTGCATGACGTGGACGCAAGTGGGCGCGCTTCCCTCACACCCCGGGTGGGAGCTCGGGGCACAAGGCCCAGAGCTTAGCCGCGGGAGGAGCTGCTGAGCCGCTCTCCACAGGTGCGCATGCGCTTTCTCAGCAGCTGGGCCGATGGCGCTGCTCTCCCCACGTCCGTGCTAAGGACACGCGTTGCTTTCTGTGTGTGTGTTTGGTTTTGGGTGTTAGCCGTCCTGGTGTGCGCAGTGGTATCTCACTGTGGGTTGGCTTGTGTGTTGTTTTGTGTTTAATCCTCACCCTGGCTCAGACAACTGGATATCAACATAAAAAAGAATAAAAGTGTGCCTTTTCCTCGCCTACACAAAAATCATCTCTTCCACTCTCTCTAAGTCATAGGGGTGGCGAACTCAATCAGAGAAGGGGCCAAAATCTAAAATCCAGCCTAAATCGCGGGCCGAATGGTTTACTGAACAGTCATAAACTGTCATTGTGATGGAAACGCAGTGGAGTGCAGTGATGACAGCGCGGTGCGGGCCACATTGATAGGCCTGGGGGGATGGATTTGGCCCGCGGGCCTTGTGTTTGACACATGTACTCTAAGAAGTGGAAGAAAGAGATAAAGACAGAGAGAAACATCGATGTGAGAGAAACACACCGAATGGTTGCCTCCTGCACGCACCCTGACCAGGGCGAGGGCTGGGAAGGCGCCTGCAACCAAGACATGTGCCCTGGACCGGAACCAAACCCAGGACCCTTCCGTCTGCACGCTGATGCTCTATCCACTGAGCCAGACTGGCCAAGGCTCACTGGTTTAGATTTCCCGGATGACTAATGAGGGTGAGCATCTTCTGCCCTTACTGGCCATTGGCGCTCCTTCTTTGAAGAACTTCTATTCCATTCCTTTGGCCATTTTTTTCAGAATAGGTTTTTTTATTTAATTTTTGCAGAGAGGAAGGAAGAGGGATAGAGAGTTAGAAATATTAATGAGAGAGAAACATTGATGAAAGAGAAACATCGATCAGCTGCCTCCTGCACACCCCCTACTGGGGATGTGCCCGCAACCAAGGTCCATGTCCTTGACCGGAATTGAACCTGGGACCCTTCCGTCCGCAGGCCAACGCTCTAGCCACTGAGCCACACCGGTTTCAGCTACAAGTACCTTCTTATTCCTATAGCTGACAAACACCTGCCGCCAATCGGTGGCTTGTCTTTCCACTTGATGACATGTTTTGGAGCACAGAGGTTTTCATCTGGATGAAGTCCAGTTGTTTGTTTTTTCGTGGTTTCACTGTCACCTCACGCAGGGCCACAGAAATCTGTCCCTGTGTCGCCTTCCGAGAGTTTATGGTTTGTGGCCTGGCTGCCGTCTCTGACCCATTTTGAGTGGATTCTGTGTGCAGGAGGAGAAGGCCCCCTTATCTTTTCTGTGTAGCTATCCAGCTGTCTGAGCAGTTTGTTGAATGAATTCACTTTTCAAACCGATACAGTAACCAAAGAAGGGTGCAGTCACGCTGTAGAACACATCGGGCACTTTTAGATCCCTGCTCTAAAATCGTTGCTATTCCCTATGCGCATGGCATCATTAAATAATATGACATCATCTATATAGATAAAAGCCTCAGCGACCATTGCAACCGAAAGGATGACCGAACAGGCTGCATGGGGTGACTAGGTCAGCATGGGGGGTCAGTGAGGGGTGACCAGGCCAGCAGAGGGGGCAGTGAGGGGTGACCAGGCCAGTGTTGGGGGCAGTTTGGGGCAATCAGCCTGCAGGGGTGGCAGTTAGGGGCAACCAGGCCAGTGGGGGGGGGGCGGTGTCAGATGGAGGTGACTAGGCCAGCAGGGGGGGGCAATTGGGGGTGACCAGGCCAGCAGGGGGGGCAGTTAGGGGCAATAAGGCAGGCAGACAGGTGAACAGTTAGCAGCCAGTGGTCCTGGATTGTGAGAGGGATGTCCGACTGGGGCTCCCGGATTGGAGAGGGTGCAGGCTGGGCTGAGGGGTCCCCTCCGCTCCCCCTGCACAGGGCCTCTAGTTAAGTCATAAAATAATAATGGTATAAACAATAGGGGGATCTCTGTATCATACTTAAAGAGGCCTGAGGCAGGCAACCCAGGCCTCATGATGGACATCAGGGACCCCAGCTCCTTTCTTCCTGCTCCCCAATCCCATTGTGTGGCTTGTATCCTCAATGTCTCATGGCCCAATAGACTGCTGAAGCGCCAGCCATCACATCTGCATTCCGGGGAGCAGGAAGGGGGAAGGGAGCAATGCAAAAGGCTCCTCCCTCGAACCAGCCTCCTTGGGAGTTGCACAGGACAACCCCTTTCATAACACTAGTTTCGTGGCCACTCAGTGTGAGAAGCAATCAGAATGTGCTGGTAGCCAGTCACACTGCCACCAGGGGAGGCAGGAAATACGGCTGTTAGCCCAGCTGCCGCTCTGCGTGCCATCCAGGCTGTTCCAGAGGAAGAAGCTTCGGGTGGCAGGCAGCTGCGTGAGCAGCCCTGTCCCCAAAGCCAGGGCCAGCGCGTGTCCTTGGCTGATGGGGCCCTCAGTTGTGGGGGGATCAGAGCTGTGACACAAGCACAGACCCACCGGCCACCAGTTACCTGGACCAGAGGAGTCTTTGAACACCATCCTAGGAGGGTGCACTGCTTCCCCGCACCCCGGGGGGCTGGGACCTGAGCGCTGTCTGCATCTGGGGGGCAGGTAGAGCCCTGAGGAGCCAGGACCGGAAGTCGGGGCGCCCTCTTAACAGCGCATCATCTTAACAGCGGCTCTCTCCTAGCATCATCCTGCTCTACCACCTCATGGCCTGGGGCCTGGCCGCGCTGCTCTGCGCCGAGGGCCTGCTCATGCTCTACTACCCGTCCCTGTCCAGGTGAGGCCCCCCCCCCCGCTGTCCGGCTCCCCCTCCCCACCTGACACTTCGCATTGCCAGCTGTGGTCCCCCAGCTCCGCCAGCACAAGGGTCTTTGCTTTTTGTCACCTCCTGCCACTAACTAGCTCTTCCCCTCCCCCTGCTCCTCCCACTTGCCCCTTCCCCTCCTTCTTGGGCCTGAGCAGCCCTCTCCCCTCTGCCTTTCCTTCTCCCCGCCTCTGCCATTCCCTCTCTGTCTTCTCCATCTCTCACCCGGTGAGCTCCCACCGTGGGAACACACCTGGGTGGCCCCCAGCCAACAGGAACCCCTGTCCCTCTCCCTGGAAAGAGCCACGGGATGCTGAAACCGGTTTGGCTCAGCGGTAGAGCGTCGGCCTGCGGACTGAAAGGTCTCAGGTTCGATTCCGGTCAGGGGCATGTACCTTGGTTGCGGGCACATCCCCAGTAGGGGGTGTGCAAAAGGCAGCTGGTCGATGTTTTTCTCTCATCGACGTTTCTGGCTCTCTATCTCTCTCCCTTTCTCTCTGTAAAAAAATCAATAAAATATATATATTTTTAAAAAGAGCCACGGGATGACGGCTCCCAGGAACCGTGAGAGCCGAGTCCGCTGGCCGCCTCCGTGCGCGGCCTTGGCCCGTGGGCTGTGCGATGGCCCGTGAGCAGAGACGGGGCGCGTCCACCACCCAAGCCTTCCCATTTCTCCATTTCCCGGGGGACTGTGGGGGTTCCAGGCCTTCCCGTCCCAGCTGAGCGCTTTCCAGGGATAAGGCCCCCCACTCCCCCCGCCCCCCCCAGGTGTGAGCGGGGCCTGGAGCACGCCGTCCCGCACTACGTGAGCGCCTACCTGCCGCTGCTGCTCGTGCTGCTGGCCAACCCCGTGCTGTTCGGCAAGACGCTCTCAGCAGGTGAGGCGCGCCCACGGGGCTCAGGATGGGGACACGCGTGCACCGGCTCCCCCCCGGGGCTGCCCTGGCCGCCCGGAGCAGCTGGGGAACAGGAGGGGCGGGAGGGCACGGGAAAGGGGAGGACCGAGGGCGGCTCAGCCACAGGAGGCAGGAGGCAGAGCACAGGTGAGCCTGAGGTCGGCTGAGGGGCGGGCAGCAGGATGCACTGGGAAGGGTCTGGGCTGGGGCAGCGGGAGGCGCGGCTCCACCCCCACGGGAACCTCTCCCCGCAGAGTGACACCGGGGCGTGAAGGAGAATTTGAAGCGTGTTTTTTCAATCCTCACCCGAGGATGTTTCCCATTGACCTCCAGAGAGAGTGGGAGGGGGAGGGAGGGAGAAACATGGATGTGCAGAGACGCACTGACTGGCTGCCTCCCACACGCCCCTGACCAGGGCCTGGGATGGAACTTGTAAGCCAGGTACGTGCCCTTGGCCAAGGAATTGAACCTGTGACCGTGGGCCAACGCTCTATCCACTGAGCATGCCAGCTAGCGAGGGCTCATTGTTACCACGGAGCATGTACATCTTTAAAACGTGGCTCCTGACCTAGTAAAACCCAAAGAAAATCTGGTTTCTTCAGCCCTAATTGGTGTGGCTCAGTGGATAGAGCATCGGCCTGCAGACTGAAGGGTCCCAGGTTCAATTCCGATAAAGGGCACGTGCCTTGGTTGCAGGCACATCCCCAGTGGGGGGTGTGCAGGAGGCAGCTGACCGATGTTTCTAACTCTATCCCTCTCCCCCCTCTGTGTAAAAAATCAATTAAAAAATGTGTTTTTTTTTAAGTCCGGTTTCCTCACGCCGGGACAGAGGTCGCCAGGTGGTGTGAGCTGTTAGCATGGGCCGCTCCAGGGTCACCGGCCTGTCCTGAGCGGCGCTCGCCCTCTCTCCGCAGTGGCCTCGCTACTCAAAGGGCGGCAGGGCGTGTACTCGGAGAAGGAGAGGCGCATGGGCGCCATGATCAAGACCCGCTTCTTCAAAATCATGCTGGTCGTCGTCGTCTGGTAACCTGCCTTCTGCTCCTCATTCCGGTCACCGGGAAGCCACATGCAAGCCCTGGCCCATTTGCTGAGGGGCCCAGAGGTCTAGAGGGAGCAGTGTGTGTGTGTGTGCGTGTGTGTGTGTGTGTGTGTGTGTGTTTTGTTATTGATTCCAGAGAGGGAGAGGGAGAGAGAAACATCAGTGATGAGAATCATTGATTAGCTGCCTCCTACTGGGGAGGAGCCCAAAATCCAGGCATATGCTCTTGACCAGAACAAATCCTGGACCCTTTAGTCCGCAGGCCGCCTCTCTAGCCACTGAGCCACCCCAGCCAGGGTGCAAGGGGGGAGTCTTTGGAGAGGAAACATTGGCTCTGGGCTTGGGGCCTTGGGAAAAATATGCTCTTGGAGACACGTCCTCATCAGGGGCGGCCATTGTCTTCTCACAGCTGGTTGTCCAACATCATTAATGAAAGCCTCCTCTTCTACCTGGAGATGCAACCGGACGTCGAAGGAGGCGCTTTGAAATATGTCAGAAATGCGGCCAAGACCACGTGGTTTATTATGGTAGGTCACTCCCGATTTGACATGTTCCTCTTGCCAAATAAAAACCAGCCCGGCCGGTGAGACCCAGTGGTTTGAGCATCCATCCCCGCACCGAAAGATGCCGGTTCCATTCGCGCTGAGGGCACATGCCCAGGAGGGGGGCATGCAGGAAGCGGCCCGTCCCTGTTTCTCTTTCTCTTCCTCTCTCTAAATGAATGGAAAAATGTTTTAAAAGATTATAAATGTAGCCCTGCCGGCTTGCTCAGTGTCCCTCTCACATCGATGTTTCTTTCCTTCCACTCTCTTAGGAAATCAATGGAAAAATTGTCCTCTGGTAAGGATCATTAAAAAAAATTATAAACGTAAAATGTTATACTAGGCCCTGGCCGGTGTGGCTCAGTAGATAGAGTATCGGCCTGCGGACTCAAGGGTCCCAGGTTCGATTCTGGTCAAGGGCATGTACCTTGGTTGTGGGCACATCCCCAGTGGAGGAGGCAGCTGGTGGATGTTTCTCTCTCATTGATATTTCTAGCTCTCTATCCCTCTCCCTTCCTCTCTGTAAAAAAAAATCAGTAAAATATATATTTTAAAAGATGTTATACTAAACACAGCTAATAATAACACACATCAAAACATATTGGCTGGAAATACACGCGATGGTCAGGTGGAAGCACATGGTGGACACCCTTCTCCCTGGCGCTTCTGTTTGATGACGTTTATAATGAAGATAGAAGCACCAGCTCAATGGTTGAGCATCAACCTAGGAACCAGGAGGTCACAATTGGATTCCTGGTCAGGGTGCAGCCCGGGTTGTGGGCTCCATCCCCAGTGTGGGGCGTGCAGGAGGCAGCCGGTCCATGATTCTCTTATTATTGATGTTTCTCTCTCTCTCCCTCCCTCTCTAACATCCATAAAAATAAAAAAATACAAACAGGAGCTCTCGGTGGAAAAACACACGTGTCCTACACAGGATTGATTTTGATGGCGCTTCAAAATTGGAGGAAATCTGGTTTGCAAGGACTTGAAAGCGAGACCAGCGCTCCTGCCTCCCCCGGGCTGTGCCTGGCAGTGGCTTGGTGCGGTGGCTCAGCTCTTGTGTGGGTACTGCCCAGAAGTGAGGACCAGTTCCCTGCCCGCTGGGACCTCAGGAGCCTGTGACATCAACCCGCTGGGCCACTCCAGGCGAGGCCAGCAGGGGGCGCCTGCAGCGCCCAGGGTCTCACCGGCTGCCCCGCTCACCGGCTCTCCCTGTCTCCTCCAGGGCATTCTGAATCCCGCCCAGGGCTTCCTCCTGTCGCTGGCCTTCTACGGCTGGACCGGATGCCGCCTGGACTTCCAGTCTCCCCGGAAGGAGATCCAGTGGGAGCCCATGACCAGCTCAGCCGCCGAACGGGCCTGCCCGGCCCACCAGGGCCCCTGCGTGCCCGGGGGCAGCCCCGCTTCCAGGAAGGTTGCACGTGGGGGCGGCCACACGTCAGACGAGGCCCTGAGCATGCTGTCTGGAGGTGAGCCCCTGGCTTCGAGGCAGGCGAGCTGCGGGGTCCGGGGCTCCCCCAAAGGCCGTCAGCTACCAAGGTGATGCGGGGTGGAGGTGGTGTCTGTGATGCCCCTCGCGCCCATCGGGGTGTACATGGAATGTCTCAGTGCCCACACTGTTTGTAGTTCATCGTCTGCCCCTCCTTTCAGCATTTAAAAACGTATTTCTGATTTCAGAAAGGGAGGAGAGAGAAACACCAACGATAAGAGAAACATGATTCGGCTGCCTCCTGCATGCCCCCTTCTGGGGATTGAGCCCAGAACCTGGGCATGTGCCCTTGACCAGAATCCAACCTGGGACCCATCAGTCTGCAGGCCGATGCTCTATCCACTGAACCACACCAGCTAGGGCAGGATGTTTGCTTTCATTTTATTGATAACCCACTGCTCTCCCCCAAACCACGCGGCACCCCCCCTGAAGGACCCTCGGAGGGATGTGAGTGAGACAGAAGCGGGTCTCCCTCTCGTTGGGCTCCTTCTGGAGCGGAGTGCAGCGGCCAGGCAACCGCGGCACCGTGATCTCGTTCACAGACACGTTGCTGAAGCTCATGCCACGCCCCCCAGGGCAGCACACCTCGCGGCCTTCTCTCTCCTTCTCTCCAGGGTCCGACGCCAGCACAATCGAAATCCACATCGCAAGCGGGTCCCGCCAGACGAATGAGGGGGAAGCCGTTCCCAAAATCCAGGGAGACCTGTGACGGGGAAGGGGCCCGCCCCCCATCCTCCGACTCTGCAGCCCTCGTTCCTCAGAAGGGCGTCCTCACCTTCCCAGCTCCTCCTCAAGGTGTCCCATTCCCCGGCTCACTCTCATCCCCAGGGCAGAGCATCTTCCCCCGCCTCTTTGTGAAAAGAGTGCGTGCCCTCGGGGCTGAAAGACTGCCTTCTAGGCCAGCGGTTTCCGCCCTCTGCGCCACGGGAGAATGCACGACACGCAGCTCCTCCCTGCTTAGTCAGGCGCCGGCCTCTTGCCCTTAGTTTGTCAAATTAAAAAAATGACAACAGCGACCACAATAGCCTTCGGGTGTCATTGAATCAAACGTATGGCTGTTTTCTTTGTCAGATGGGCAAAAGGTGTATTTTGGGGGTTGCCGCCGAATTTTATGTGCCACAAGGTTTTGAAAAGGTAAATTTCGCTGTTCCAGACCAAACGCTGCAGTGCAATGCCACGTCCACATCCCTGGGAAAGTTAATAAAGTCATTGAAACCAGGCTCCCGGGCTGGCTTGGGTTCCTTCCGAATAGCAAATGCTCTCTGGTCAAGTTATTGATGAGGCCAAAAGGGCAGCAAAGTGCTGAAGCAGCTGAGGCACAGGGCGTGCTGATGGGCTACGCTGCATGTTCTTCATGAACCACAAGAGGGCGCAGAAGAGACGGCTCCCATCAGGAATTCAGCCTTTGGTGCACACAAAGGGCTGCATGTCCCTCGTTCACCACAGGAGGGTGCCAAAGAGCCGGCTCCTCAGGAATTCAGCCTCTGGTCCTGGGGTGGGGCTGCATGTTCTCTGTGCATTACAAGAGAGCTCAGAAGAGGCAGGTTTGATCAGGAATCCAGTGTTTGGTTCATGCTGTTGAAGACTTTACCATTATTACTCTGAACTCTATATCAGATACATTTCTTTTTTTAAAATAGAATTTATTGATCTTTTACAGAGAGGAAGGGACAGGGACAGAGTTAGAAACATCGAAGAGAAACATGGATCAGCTAGCTGCCTCCTGCACACCCCATACTGGGGATGTGCCCACAACTGAGGTACATGCCCTGGACCGGAACCAAACCTGGGACCCTTTTGTCCGCAGGCCGATGCTCTATTCACTAAGCAAAACCGGCTAGAGTCAAATTAATTTATCTCCATTTCACTTCTCTCTTCTGGAGAATTCTCTTGTTCTTCCATTTGGGGTTGTTTTTGTCTTCCCATTTTGGCTGCCTGTTCGAGTTTCTGACTATGCATTAGAATCTCTAGTGCAGGACAGTGCCAAACTCCTTCTAATTGGATCAGGAAAAGATTCAAAGCCTCCAGAGACCGCCTCTGCCTGCAGACCGGTTGTATTTGGTCTTTAATAGCCCTTAGCCCAGCAGTTTTCAAATGACCCTTTCATAGGGGTCGCCTAAGACATCCTGCATATCATATTTACATTACGATTCACAACAGTAGCAAAATTAGTTATGAAGTAGCAACAAAAATAATCTTATGGTTCGGGGTCACCACAACATGAGGAACTGTATCAAATGGTCGCGGCATTAGGAAGGTTGAGAACTACTGCTGCAGAATGTAAGTATTTCTCTCTTTTACCGTGTCCAGCATGGCTGGAGTAGGGGTGGCTGGGGATTGAGAAAATGAAAATAAATAAAGACACAGAGACAGCAGGGAAAGGCTGCCACCAGTTGGGACAGCTGGCCCTTTGATGGAAAGACAGTGACCCAGAACTGGTGCAGCGTGTTTAATTATAAAGTATGATTCCAGGAAGTTTTACTAGAGTTTAAAAGAAAGGAAATTATGTGGAATCCTGGTTAAAGATCTTCATTCTTGTGGCTTCGTTGTAATTGTCACTCCTGGCTAAGCCCAGATAATTGCCTCTGTTCTTTGCGCCTACCTGGCTGAACTTAAGTAATGAAACCCAACCCCTGACACATGAGCTAAAGGGTCAGGCTGAGCTGAAACCGGTTTGGCTCAGTGGGTAGAGCGTCTGCCTATGGACTGAAAGGTCCCATGTTCGATTCCGGTCAAGGGCATGTACCTTGGTTGCGGGCACATCCCCAGTGGGGGGCGTGCAGGAGGCAGCTGGTTGATGTTTCTCTCTCATCGATTGTTTCTAGCTCTCTATCCCTCTCCCTTGGTCTCTGTAAAAAAAATCAATAAAATGTATTTTTTGGAAAAAAATAAATAAAGGGTCAGGCTGACAACACTCCTGCCTCTGGCATGGTATGTTTCCGGGACATGGTGCTGCCAATGCCACTGGATTCAGCTGAAAGTAATGTAAGAAATGCTCATGTGCCTTCCTCAGAACCATAAAGAGCAGGGCAGGGCCCTGGCTGGTTTTGCTCAGTGGTTAGAGTCAGCCTGTGGACTGAAGGGTCATGGGTTTGATTCCCTGTCAAGGGCATAAACTTCAATTGCAGGTTTGATCCCAGGCCTGCGTGAGGAAGCAGGTAGATGCCTCTCACATCAATGTCTGTCAGTCTCTCTCTCTAAAGATCAATGAAAACAATATCTCTGGGAGGATTAAAAAGAAAGGCCGGCAGGGCCCAGCGCCCGCTTGGCTCCCACGCAGGATCGAGCTGCATGTGCAGGAACATGACACCCTGACCCGCTTTGTGACTCAGGGCAAAATGCAGCCTGTGTCCCCAGGACCACTGCCGCCTGCCCCAGGGCGGCACACCGATGCAGGAACAGAAGCCATGCCCACTAGGGGTGGGAGTCGCCCTGGGGCTTCCCGTTCTGCAAAGTCCTCCGAGTTCATCGTGGAACGGAGTTCCCAGCAAACCACCAGGGGACAGGCGGAAAGTCACCGACTTGGACTTTCCCAAATGGCCGGCCAGAAATCACCCTGCCCCTCCCCCTCCCCCTCCCGCCGCCGTGCAATCTAGTGACCAACATAACTGAGGAACCCAAATGGGTCCAGAGACATAGAAGCAAGAACAGACTGTGAAACCTCAGAGTGAGGGTCGCACCAAGGTCCCTTCTGTGCCCGCTCCTCGGGGCGTCCTGGGCCCCAGGGGCCGAGCGGGAAGAAAGCACACAGACCACGGTCCCTCGTATCAAAATAGAGCGATTTATTCAAGACGCTGAACAGGACCTGCTGGTTCTCTGGGAACAAATGGCTACCACACGCAGGGTGATCATTATGTCGGAGCGCGTGAGGGGACGTGGGGGGGGGACAGATGTGGACGCGGACATGGGCGCTGGCGGAGCAGTGGGCTGGCACACCTGGCACAGACGACAAACACCGCTGGGGCCAGAGCTCCCAGCCCCCAGGAGGGGCGGAGGGCACGCTTGTGCATTTGACCTGAAACACGGTTTGTGAAGGGAAACAGGTGGAACTGGTACAAGAGGAGAGGAAGCAGGAGAAGCAGACTCGGCGCGGGACTAAGTGCACTTCCCCACCCTCGACCGATGTTAGGGCAGAAGGGAGACCCCAGCCCCCACCGGGCTGGTGTGGCTCAGTGGTCCAGCAGCGACCTGTGACCCAGGAGGTCTGGGTTCATTTCCCCGGCAGGGCACAGGCCTCCATAGGGGCCGTGCAGGAGGCAGCCCAGCAGTGAGTCTCCCTCATCATGGTTTCTCTCTCTCCTCCTTCCTTCCTCTCTGAAATCACTAAAAACGAAAACTTATTTAAAATGAGAACTCCAGTCCCGGGGTGAAGCCGGTCACTGCCGTTCCCGCCAGCCCCGCTCATGCAAACGCAGCGGAGACTCCGGGAGGCTGGGTGTGGGAGGATCAAGGTCACCGTCAGCATTTGCTCAGTCAGCGTTAGGGCGTAAGCTGTCACTGAGGGCAAACAGGCACAGGCCGCCAGACCCGACTTCCCGGGCTCAGCTGCCCGCTGTCATGGCGCCTGGACACTCGGGCCCGTGTGGCTGCGGCAGCTCGTCTCCGAGGCCAGGGGCAGGAAGCCGGGGCCGCGGAGTCCCCATGGGACTGAGCCGCGTGGCCGGGGTCCCCCACCTCACTGCGGCCAGCGGGTCGCGTGCACCCCACACCAAGGTGTGAGGATTGTCTACGGAAGCTCCGAGCCCGCAGGTGCCCCGATGGTGCCCCGATGGCGCCCCGACGTGTCCCGGCCCCCGGCCCCCCGTGGGGCGGCGATGCCCAGCTGCAGAGACGCGCCCGTTTTTAGGGGCTGGGGTGTCAGATGGCGCTCCTCAGCACCCCCACACACTGCGCCCCCAACGTCCAGACTTCTCCGGGCAGAGAGGACCTGCAGGCTGGGGACCAGAATGGTGACCAGAGACCCCGGGCTCCAACGAGGCCACGACCCAAAGCAAGCATCCAACTTGGCACCGGCATTTTGGGGTCTTCTCTGGCAGGGGCTGGAGGATCCACGGGGAGCCCCTTGATGACAGCACAAGGCGGCCCCACGGACCCAGCCTTCCAGGTCTCTGGGACTTGCACACCCGCCCTGAGGGTGGGTTTCCAGCTCCTCCCACCAGTGTCCTGTCTCCGGGATGGACCCTGCAGAGCTGTCGGTCAGCATTAGGGTTTATTGCCGCCCCATCCCCGCTGCGCCCCAATGCGATGGCCCCACCCACTGCTCCCCGCGAACCAGCGGGGCCCAGCGCAGCCGGACAGCCACCTCCCGGCGCACAGCCAGGTGCACGATGGTGACCTTCCACCTGTGCTTCCCCTCAGGGCCTCCCTCCCCGGCACCTCTGAGCAGCCAGACCCAGCGCCCTGGGGGCAGCCGTGCCAGCCCCCTTCCCAGCGCCCCAGGGCCAACCTACAGGGAGCAGAGCCTCTTGTGTACTGGCTTCGGTGCCTCTTGGTTGGGGACTCGCTCCTGAGGTCACCAAGGTCCCTGTGCACCTCCTTAACTGTGCTCCTGCGGCCGCCCAGGCAGAGCCCGGGGACCGGGCAGCGCCCTCGGCTCTGCCCCCCACGCGTGCCCTCCCACCCGCCACGCACCGCTCCCCGGAACCGCTTAAAACAGGAAACCGCACAAAGCTCTCTGTCTGACGGCCATTGTAAGGATTTTAAAATCGTTTTCACATAAAAATATCTTCTTTTTTCCAAAAATACTCGGGGCTCTCTCTCATAAGTCTTTTTTCCTCTCCTGTAAAAAGCCCCCTGCCCTGCCTTCCCACATAAAGCACTTGTTTTGTGAGGAATGTGCCCTGGAGGCCTGTGGTGCATAGCACACAGCTCTGACCAGGGGTGCGGGGAGGGGAGGGGGGGCACAGAGGAGGGGAGGAGCAGAAAGCTGCAGGCACAGACTTTGCCAAGTGTCCCCAAGGCTGCGTCTACAGCAAGCCCAGACCCGGCAGGGAGGACAAAGGTGGGGGACGGTCAAGGACAGGGGAGGGAAGAAGGCCCAGCAACGCCGCCGGACAGCGCAGGGTGGGGGACACGGACGAGTTGGGGTCCCCCAGGCGCATTCCCGCCGCACAGGCTGGCTTTGGAATCCCTCTGCAGCCCGCTGTGTCCAACTGTTAGGGAGCCACGTGGACCGCAGGGGAAGGGGGGTTTGGGGGGGAGAGTCTCCTACCCCTTTTGAGTGATCACAGCAGCTTTCTCTCTCCCCTTTTCTGGCACCCCCCCATGGCAGCCATCTGCACGCATCATCGGGCTGGGGGCGCCGGGCTGCCCCCCTCGGATACAACTGTGTGTGTGTGTGTGTGTGTGTGTGTGTGTGTGTGAGAGAGACGCTCGGCGAGGACGTCGAATACAGGCTCCCGGACTAGGCCCACGGGCCACGCCGCGCAGTCTGGCAGCTGCAGGATCGAGCCCCAGGGGTGCCGAGGCCCCGTGCCCACCGCTGGTCCATGACCTCTCCTCTTTCCCGGCCACCGCGGTCACTTCCGCAGATCTAACACACACACCTGCGGGGAGACGGAGGGCCCGTTATTGTAGCAAAGGGAACAGGAACGTGACTGTGAACATTCCAACGAGTGGCAATGGCAGGAGATGTTGCTTGTATGGAAGGGAGCAGAGCCGGGCGGGCAAATGATACTGCAGAGCCTAGTGATAGAACCAGGCCCGCCCAAAATAAAGTTTTACCGGCACACAGTTGTGAACATTCAGAGAAACTGCCCACATGCTGCTGACTGGGCCTCTGACCATCCTGGGAACTGACACAGGGGCAGTGGCCATGGGTGGGGGTACGGCCCAGACACCGAGGGCCAGGGACCATGACCAGTCAAGCCTGCGCTCATGGCCTCAGGGAACACGAGCGGGATGCCCTGGCCCGCCCAGCCCTCCCATCGCCCCTGCCTCAGCGGATCACCATAGGGCCCAGGACCCAGGAGACCAGCAAGGTGCTCAGCCTCGGCCCGGGTATGGGCTGCCCGGCCTTTCCCCTTTCCGCCCCGCGCCCTCATCCCCTCCCTCCCCCCCAGCATGCCGCGGGCGCTGCTTACGGAGCCGTCGGACGCACTGGCGCCCACTTTGTCCCCTCGGGCGTTCCAGCAGACCTCGAAGATGCCACCCGTGCCTCGGTAGCTGTGGACCAGGCTCCCACTCTGCAAAGAAAAGCAGCGTGAGGCGCTCAGGGGGCGGGGCTGGGAGGGAGCCAGGCCGCCGCACCTCCCCGTGGTGGCTGTACCTAGAGGGCACCCTCTCCCCCAGGACCCAGGAGGTTTGAGATCTAGACAAAAGGAATGACAATGTGATGAGGTTTCGGTCTTGGGCGGTCCCTAATGTCGGTTTTCTTTTTTAAGTATACTTTCACTGATTTCAGAGAGGAAGGGAGAGGGAGAGAGAAACATCCATGGTGAGAGAGAATCATGGATCGGCTGCCTCCTGCACGCCCCCTACTGGGGATCAAGCCGGCAGCCCCAGGCATGTGCCCCGATCGTGAGTCCAACCGTGACCTCCTGGCCCATAGATTGGTACTCAACCACTGAGCCATGCTGACTGCTCCTATGAAGAGGCACAGTGCTCCTGGGACATGGGTTTTCTGCGTGGCCTGTCTGGGCTGTGAGGCTGGCTCCACAGAGGGTCCCCCCTCACCTCTCCCTGTCCCAGAGCATGGAGCCCGGGTGAGGCAGACACTGGGAAGCCTCCCTCATGTACTACCAACCCTTGCCACCAGAGGGCATGGGCTCAATGCAGAGGTACCTCAATGTCAAACCAGCCACAGGGAACCCCAAGGCAGGCTGGATTACAAGGGGCAATCCATCCCGAGGTCACACAAACTGATCGCTGGCCATTGGCAACGGCTCTGACCATTTCTCCTCCGTTGGCAAGAGAACTGAGGGCTGACTGCGTAACATAACAGTCCCTACTCTACTGCTCTTTTCTTAAATTTTTTTTTAAAAATTTATTCTTATTGATGTTAATGTTAGGGGAAAAAAGGAGAGGGAGAGATAGACACATCCATGAGGAGAAGGATCATGGGTGGGCTGCCTCCTGCACGCCCCCTCCTGGGGATCCAGCCCACAACCCAGGCCTGTGTCCTTGACGGGGAATCGAACCAGGGACCTTTCAGTCCGAGGAACGCCGCCCTCTTCCAGTCTTTATATTCAGAATCTCTTACCCCGGGTTACCCACGCTGCCGCCCTTCACTCAAATGCTGTCTCCTCCGAGTTCTGCCAACAGCACGACCCTCTATGCTAGGGGTGTCGAACTCAATCAGAGAAGGGGCCAAAATCTAAAATCCAGCCTAAATCGCGGGCCGAATGGTTTACTGAACAGTCATAAACTGTCATTGTGATAGAAACGCAGCAGAGTGCAGTGATGACAGCGCAGTGCGGGCCACATTGCAAGGCCTGGAGGGACGGATTTGGCCCGCGGGCCTTGTGTTTGACACATGTGCTCTATGCCATACCCTTTCCTACCGAAACATACCCCATTTTCATTAGGAACTAAAATGGCCCCCCAAAGCCAGCAGGCATTCCTTTACACCCTCCAATTTGATGCGGACCGGAGGTCAGGGCCGGCTCCCCCCTTGGAAAGCTCGAATGTATGACACCTGTTCCCCCACCTTAGCACCCCGGGGGCAGCACCTCCGGAGACTAAAGGTCCGGGTTACTGTCTCCCCGTTTTCCATAGAAGGATGAGGCAGGGGACTCACACCCCAGCGGCTGCCTCGGGCCAGAGTCACAGAAACTTGGCCTCGGGCGGGCCGCTGAGAGAGGTCCCAGATTACCTGTGTGTTCCAGATGTGCACGCACTTGTCGAAGGAGCCGCTGGCCAGGTACTTGCCGTCGGGGCTGAACGCGACGCTGTACACGGGCTCCTGGTGCTTGGTGAGCGTGTGGATGCACACGCCGCGCTCCACGTCCCACAGCCGCACCGTGGAGTCGAACGAAGCGCTGGGAGGAAGCGAGGGAACGTCACCACGGACACGCGGGGCTCCCTCCCGCCTCCCCACGGCGTGCCTGCATCACACTTTCCCCATGTCGCTTTCATGTTTCTAGAGACAGTAACAGGGATGCGTCGTCCTGGCAAAAATGTGACTCGGATGCATTGACAGCAGAGCCATTGTTATAAAACAACTAATGGCCCCGGTGCACAAAATTCGTGCACATTAAAAGAGAATTAATTAGAGGAAATATTTTTACATCGCTATTTGTCCTTTTTCTGTTGGGAGCCATCAGAGTTGAGACAAGCAACTCCGTCTTAAGAAAATACAACTCCGTCTTAGAATTAAGTTCCTTCTAGCAGAAGTTATGCAGTGCCCTGCGGGTTTGGCCAGAAGCTAAAGATAACCTGCCGCTTAGCACATCTTGCTCCAGAAGATCTCTGCAACTCCCCTTCCTGATCCTCCCCCATAGCTAGCCCGGCCTTGGAATGTTACACCGCCCTGGCAGTTAGCCAATCCTGTGTTGCTAGGTACCTTACCACCTTGTCACCCAGTGCCTAAACCAACTATACACTGTCAAAGACCCCGCTGCATAGGCAACCCGGCCCCCCTTTGTTCCTGCTGTATATATACTGCTGTTCCAAAAATAAAGTTTGAGGCTTGATCAGAACTTTGTCTTGCCTCCATTTCTCCGTGCCCCTGTCCCTTCTTTTCATCCTCCACAGGGACCTCAGGCCACGCCTCCCTCTCCCCACATTGCTGAGCCCCGCAGGTTGGAGCAGTTCTCTATAATAGAAGTGTCAGAGATGAAAGAAAACTACTAAAATGTACATGAAAATCTTGCTCCTGTCAGAATCTGGGGCACACCCACCACCAGCACGCACTTCGAAAATGCAGGAAATGCCAAAACGGTTTGGCTCAGTGGATAGAGCGTCGGCTTATGGACTGAAAGGTCCCCGGTTCTATTCCGGTCAAGGGCATGAACCTTGGTTGCAGGCACCCCAGTAGGGGGTGTGCAAGAGGCAACTGGTCGATGTTTCTCTCTTATCATGTATCTAATTCTCCATCCCTCTTTCTTCCTCTCTGTAAAAAATCAATTAAAAATATTTAAAAAAAAAACAACAATAAAAAATGCAGGAGACCCAGACCCGTCCGGCCCTGCCCCTCCGGGACAGAGGTGCAGTCTCAGTGCCCGTCAAGCCCTGCCAGGCAGCGGGCATGACCTGAGGTCCGCTGGCCCAGAGTCAGGGAAGGGGGTGCGGCCTGAGGTCCCCCATTAAGCCCCGCTGGGTGGGGGGCGTGGCCTGAGGTCCCTCGCCCTGGCCAGGGGCCATGCAGCCTCAGGTCCCTGCTGCCTGGTTGTGATGTTTCCAGACAAATAATTTGCATATTTTTCAAATTATTCCTCTGTTATTCTTCTATATAACAGAAATAATTTGCATATTCCTCTGTTATATATCAATAGAAGACAGACTCCTGTCCGTTGCTTTTTTGCATGCTGTGACTGGGGAAACAGGCTGATTTCACATGCATTGGTTCCTGCATTTTAATTTTACTGTGTGCACCCTGGACCCCAGAGCCCAAAGCTCCCCAGCATCCCCGGCCTCAGACCTCTGCAGTTGTTTTTCTGGACGTTCTTCCTACACGCGGGGCCGACGCGGTTCTGTGCACTGCAGCCGACAGCAGCGTGGGCCAGTTCTGGGGACCCTGCTGCTGGCCGCCCTGGGGGTTCACTACAGACATGGCTGTCAGCCCTGCGAGTGAGGGGCAGCCCTTTGCTGCCGCTCAGAACCCGCGCCACCTGCAGCCCCGGGCACGGGCTCAGCTCCGATCGCTCTCTCCGTCCTGACGAAAACCTTCACAAAGCCACGTGCTGGGCGCCTGCACCCAGAACCCTCCAGCCCGGCGGGCACAGGGATCCCCGGCCCTGCTCGGTGTCCCTTCGTGGCTCTGTCATGTGGGCCTGTCCTGTCCGAGGAGCTACCCGTGTACCGTTTGAAAGGGCGCGACCTCATTTGCAACACAATTCACAAAATTCCTGTTCCTTCTGACACAAGTGGCATTCCCTAGTCAAGTTCCCGGCCACCTCCTTCACAGACCGCCATTTCTGTTCCCTCGGATACCGGAACTGTCCCAGCCACACGGAGCAGGACATGGGGGCCGCGTGGCCTGGGCTGCAGGCTGGCCCCCCTTACCTGGCAAGCATGATGCTGGCGCTGGGGTTGTTGGTGGCAGGCCCGGTGGGACTCCACTTGATGGTGTAGATCTCTTTGCTGTGAGCTTGCAGGTCATGGACACACGTGTCCTGCTTCATGCTCCAGATCTAGAGGGCACATTGGGAAGCGTGTGAGCAGGAGGAGTTCTCTCTCCAGCCGGGAATGGCTCCACATCATCACGCCGTGAGCGCTCCTCAGGGTTGGGGCCCTGGGGCAGCTCGCCCGCAGGCGGGTGGGTGCCCAGGCAGAGGGGCGGGCAAAATCCCGGGCCACCAGCGGCATTGATTAGCCAAGGGGCCATCGTACAGGCACGGGAAAAGTGTCGGTTACAAAACCATCCCCAGAGCAGCCGTGAGGGTGAGCCCCGCACAGCCCCTCCCTCCACCTCACCTTTAACGTCATGTCGTCAGAGCAGGACGCCAGCAACATGCCGGAAGGGTCCCACTTGATGGCATTGACCTCATTCTGAAAGAGAGCAAAGGATTTTACAAAGAAATGAAGGCCTGTGAGCAGGTGCCACAACCGTCCAGCAGGGGGCAGGGGCGCCCCATCATCTCTGCAGACTCTCCACGGTTTCCACCACCACAGCGCTCAGGTTTTCCTGCTGCTTACTCTGCCTTTCTCATTGAGGTACATCCACGCGCCGCGCAAAACCAGTAACCCGCATCTACATTTCTTTAAGAAAAACCTCACACCTCGGGAGCCCATGCATTTACATTTAAAAAGTACAGCACAGAAAACTGACCACCGACCAACGTGGTTTTGACATTGAAAATGACATTGAAAATCATTCTCACCCTGGCCGGTGTGGCTCAGTGGCTAGTGTGTTGGCCTGTGCACCAAAGGGTGGCGGGTTCAATTCCCAGTCAAAGGCATGTACCTGGGTTGCAGGTTTGTCCCTGGTCCCAGTCGGGGTGCATGCAAGAGGTAACCAATGTTTCTCTTCTCTCTGGCCCCCCCACTCTCTCCCTCCCTCCCACTCTCTAAAAACCAATGTTGGCGTTTTCCACCAAATTCAGGATACTGGCTATTTCTCTGATCTCTCTTATGCATAGCTCTTCTCCAGATTCCAGAACCCCTCTAGATGCTGGACCAAGATCAATAGCATTTCATGTCACCCAATGTCTGGCACCCCAGAATCTTTTATAATTTTATTTATTTATTTATTTTTATATATTTTATTGATTTTTCACAGAGAGGAAGAGAGAGGGATAGAGAGTTAGAAGCATCGATGAGAGAGACTCATCGATCAGCTGCTTCCTGCACACCCCCTACTGGGGATGTGCCCGCAACCAAGGTCCATGCCCTTGCCCGGAATCGAACCCAGGACCTTTCAGTCCGCAGGCCGACGCTCTATCCACTGAGCCACACCGGTCCCGGCTGTCACAGAATCTTTTAATCCGAGGCTCCCCAGTCCTGGCACATGCCCATGAACTTGATCCCCGTCCTCCCACTTACCGTGTGTCCCTGGAAGGTTTTGACGGGGCGGTCGCAGCTGAGCCTACAGACGTGAATGCACATGTCGGTGCTACAGGAGGCGAAGGCGGTGTTGTTCTGCCAGTCCACATCGAGGGCGGGGGCTGCGGGCGGGACAGGGAGTGGACACTGTGGTCTCTGGAGCCCAGGCTGCCCCACGTGGCCTGCTGTGGCCACAACACACAGAGGGATGTGGCTAGGCCCATGGCAGTGGCTGCACACTCCTGTGGGAACGTAGCCCCACCTCAGGGAGACCATACTCCCTGGGCCCAAGTCTGGGGATCAGGATTCCCGAACGTTCCCACCATTCCCTGACTGATGAGAGCAGCTTCTGTACTTAAACTGCAAACTAGTAGTTTACGCCAGTTCCTTCCAGGAATCTGGAACGTGGGTCCGAGCCAGGGAGAGGCTGCCTGCAGTGCCAGCCTCCGCGAGACCCTGGACGAAGTCTCCACTGAGCTCCACGTGGCCTGGCACACTCGGCCTGTCCTTGGTGACTCCCGGCGAGAAGACCACTGCCAATGCTGGATTTCACCGTGACCTCTCCCCTCTCGGCTGGCTGTGCTCTCTGTCCTTCCGCTGTGACAAACCTGAGCTGGGACTCCCCATGTGGGCACAGTCTCCGGGGTCCCCAACACGGCTCCCCCGGGCTGGCAGGAGAAATGAGGCCACACTGTTCCTGGGATTGGTTTCCTGGGGTGTTTTTCATGCTTTGATGTTGGGGACTCTGTACCGTCGACGCCTCACAGCCCTGGGACTGCAGCTGGATTCCATGAACACACTCCTTGGAGTAGACAGGAATACCTCACAGGACATTTCATGGGAACTCTGTGCTATTATTTCCAAACCAGAGGCCTGGTGCATGACATTCGTATACCAGGGGTGTCCCTCAGCCCGACCTGCACCCTCTCCCAGTCCAGGAGCCCTTAGGGGATGTCCGACTGATGGCTTAGGCCTGCTCGCCAGCCATGAGCCCGGCTCAGGGCTTCTGGCTGAGCAGCGCTCCTCCTACAGGAGCACGATGACCCCCTGGTGGTCAGTGCGTGTCATAGAGTCTGGTCGTTCCGCCGTTTGGTCAATTTGCACATTAGCCTTTTATTATATAGGATTGCAAAACCAAACCAAAAGACTCACCAGAGTGAAACGGGAACTGCTGTTTGGCTTCTCCCGTGTGGGCATCCCAAATTATGGTTGTCTGCACTCCGCAAACGAAAGGGAAAGGTCAGTGAGTGTTCTCGCCACGTTTTCTCTTGGAAAAGTTATCTTACAAGACGAGGCAGCAGCCCCTCCTCCCTCCATTCCAGTGCCGCCCAGTAAACACAGACAGGGCCACGCAGGGAGCTTTGTTTCCTAGTAAGCACTCCATGAAAAAAAGAAAGACAGAAACTGTGAAAACTGAATTCTTTTTGTTTTCTGGTGCTGGGACTTGGATATGAACTGAGGTTGCTGTGGCCATAAAACTACTTTTAAAAAAAAATATTTTATTGATTTTTTCCAGAGAGGAAGAGAGAAGGAGTGCTAGAAACATCGATGAGAGAGAATCATCCATCAGCTGCCTTTTGCACACCCCCTACTGGAGATGTGCCCGCAATCAAGGTCCATGCCCTTGACCGGAATCGAACCCGGGACCTTTCAGTTTGCAGGCCGACACTCTATCCACTGAGCCATACCGATTTCAGCAGTGAAACTACTTATTCACTACACATTTTATTTTATTCCAGTCTGGCCAACATAGTGTTTCAACTTGTGATCGACATACAGCTGCTCACGAGCTCCCGGGCAGTCTTTTATGCTACGTCTGTGGAACCCAGTGTTTTATACGCAACCAGGTGGACTGGTGGTGACTCCACAAGGCACAGCCGCTGTAGCTGATCACTGGGAAAGTACCAATATGGTGGGGGTTTCCCCTCTCCCATTACAAGTAGAAAAAACGCATAATAAAGCTTATCTACGTATCTTTCTGGCCCTTTCCCAGATGAGGAGCCGAGGAAGGAACGGGCATTTCTGGAAACGCCCTGAATCGGGGACAAAGAGCAGAGTACTGAGCCGCACACGTGGCCCCAGGCAGAGGCCTCTAAAGCAGGGAGAGGGCCGTTCCCCTGGCAGACAAGCAGGAATTCTTAGGGATCTGCTTGATGTCTGGGAGACAGGAGATCCCAGCTCAGGGAAACCAGTGGGGTTTCGCAGCCATCACCTCACTTTACTGGAACTCCCTGTCGCTGACAACAGAGCCCGTGGTTGGGGAATTGGCTGTGGGCTGTGTTGACTGCAGGCATTTCAGAGGAAACACTCGGGGCAGTGAGTTCCTTTGAAACCGGACTCTGGACATTTTGGGTCAGCTCTGGACCAACGAACGTCTTTCGTCCGTTTGTTTGGTGGGTCTAACATTTTCCTCAAAACCATCCATCAGCTGCTTCCTGCATGCCCCCTACTGGGGATGTGCCCGTAACCAATGTACATGCCCTTGACCGGAATTGAACCCTGGACCTTTCAGTCCGCAGACCGACGCTCTATCCGTTGAGCCAAACCGGTTTCGGCAGCCCACCTATTTCTTAAGAGGAAACAGAAAGCCTCAGATTTCAAAGAAACCACGATGTCATCCAGAGATTCAAGACCAATAAGCGTCTACAGATCAGAGACGTATTTCAGCAAACACTCACTTTGTCCACACCCGCGCTCAAAATGTAATTCCCCTTCTTGTTCCACTTCAAGGCAAAGATGGGGCCTTTGTGCTGGCCTAAGGTGCTGGCCAGGTTCCCTGTGAGGAAGGAAATGGACAACAAACCAGCTGACCTCAAGACCACGGCACTTCCACCCCAAAGCTGCTCCTCCCGGACCCCGAACCCCGGCCCGGGGGGGGGGGGGGGGTTGGCGGCGCTCACCGTCCTCCGTCCAGATCCTCGCAAAGCCATCGTAGGAGCCCGTGGCCAGCAGTGTCCCCTCGCTCTGTGGGCCGGAAAGAGACAGGCCGACAGAGACAGCTTAGTGGGGGCCGTTCTGACAGAGGGAAGAGGGCCTCTCACCCCAGAACTAGAACATCCTCACGTCGATAACCCGTCCCCAGCCTGGCCAGCGTGGCTCAAGGGTGGAGCGTTACCTGTGAACCAGGAGGTCCTGGTTCGATTCCCGGTCGGGAGGCAGCTGGTGGATGACTCTCTCTCATCATCGATGTTTCTCTCTCTCCCTCTCTCTTCCTCTCTGAGATCAATAAAAACATTAAGCCTAAGCTGGTTTGGCTCAGTGGATAGAGCATCGGCCTGCAGACTGAGGGGTCCCAGGTTCGATTCCAGTCAAGGGCATGTACCTTGGTTGCGGGCACATCCCCAGTAGGGGGTGTGCAGGAGGCAGCTGATCGATGTTTCTCTCTCAGCGATGTTTCTCTCTATCTTCTCCCTTCCTCTCTGTAAAAAATAAATAAATAAATAAATAAATAAATAAATAAGTAAATAAAATACATTAAAAAAAGAAAAAAAAGAAAAAAGAATATGAAGGTGGAAGTCATGTTTCCTTGGCTGTTCAGAGACTCGGGCTAATGCTCGGAAGGAGCCTGACACGACCTGGCTAGTGCTCAGGGAGGGAGCCCCACGACCCAGCCCCCCCGCACTCCCCGGGGCACCAGCACGCGGGAGGCGGCCGGGGCTTACGTTCCAGTCCAGCGAGGTCACATCCTTGTTGCTGGGCACGTCATGGCCGCCTTCGCGGATGCAGTGCCGCAGCACCAGCTGGGTGGACGCCCCGTTGCTGCTCTCGTTCAGGTTCCAGATCCGCGCCGTCGAGTCCCCGGACCTGCGGGAGGAAGCGCCTGCAGTCAGCTACCGCGTGCTCCCGGGGTTCTTCTCCCTCTTCCCACCACGCAGCCCGCCAGGGCCTGCAGCCGATGGGCAGAGGTGGGCTGGCCACGGCTCCAGGCCAGGCGGCTTGGGCCGGGCACCTTGAGACGGCCTGCCCAGTCCAACCCACAGAGCTGGTTTTTTGTTTTTGTTTTTTAATTTAATTTTTTAAAAATATATATTTCTTTACTGATTTCAGAGAGGAAGAGAGGAAAGAGAGACAGAAACATCAATCATGAGAATTATTGATGGGCTGCCTCCTGAACATCCCCCACTGGGGATTGAGCCCGCAACCCAGGCATGTGCCCTTGGCCAGAATCGAACCTGGGACCCCTCAGTCCACAGGCTGACGTTCTCTATCCAGTGAGCCAAGCCGGCCAGGGCTGTTTTTTTTAAAAATCTCAGTGGGTCTTCTCAGCACCTTCTATGCTGCACAGGGGAATTTTAAATGCAGGCACAGCCCCACCCGGGGAGACCACAGCCCGGCCCCAGGACTTCTCAATTTTACCACCGTCGGAGGTACCCCAGGAGGAGCAGCCAGGGCGCCCCAGGCTTGGGCCTGCACCCCGATGGGGCAGGTGCCCAGGCAGGCCAGAGGGAATGCGCCCCGGAGGCGGGACCGGACTGTGTGCAGAGCAGCAGGCGCCCCGCCCAGAGCGCCCCAGGCGGACGCCTCACCCCGAGGCCAGGAGGTCGCTGACGGGGTTCCAGGCGCAGATGAAGACCTCAGACTCGTGGCCCCGCAGCACCGTGGCCTTGCTGGGCGGGATCTCCACGTCCCCGTCGATCTCCATGGGCTTCGAGTGGTTATCTGTGGAGGGAGCGGAAGCCGCGTGGCTGAGCGACACGGGACGGATGTGAAGAACTCGGCGGCCTGCACCTGGTCACGGTCCCCTGCCACGGCGCTGCGCTGTGGTCGGGGGGCTGGAGGTGAGCAGGCCACGTGGTGAGGGGTGACCACCACGGCCATCTGGACCTCCAGGGCTGGGCAGCTGCACAGCTGATCCGAGGGAAGCCAACTCCACCCCGGGAAGAATCCTCACATCTGCCTAAGACACGCACAGGGGCACGTGCATACATCCACACACACGGTCACACACAGCCCAACACAGGCACATGTGTGCACAGATACACATGCCCGCACTTACTCATGGCATGGGCTCCATTCTCCTCCCCGTTCACCGTGGCTTCCCCGTTCTTTGGGGTGTTGGGCTGGGAAACCGCTGCTGGAGTCACTGTGGCCGTCGTGGCTGTAGTGGCCGCCGCTGCTGCTGCTGCCGCCGCCGCCGCCGCCGCCACACTGGCCTGCTGCTGCGCCAGCTTCTCCCGGAAGGCCTGCTGCCTCGTCTGCACCACATCGGGCATCACGGCGTCGATCAGCGACAGGGACTCTATGGGGCGGCCGTCGAACACCGTGCCATCCTGGGGAAGCCGGGGCACGGCCGTCAGCCCCGAGGCTGTTGGCACCGGGCTATGGGCACCGCAGGCAGAAAGGGGCGGGCAGAGGAGAGGAAGGGCGGGCAGTGGGCAGTGTGTGTGTGGGCTCAGCCTGGGTGCAGGACAGGGTGCAATGCTATCCTAAGTGGGGTACCCGATGTTTGGTCAATATCACACTGAACTGGGGCACTGCCATATTGCATGGAAAAGGTGCTCTACTGCAACTGAGGCACTACAATATGTCATATAAAAGGTGCTCAGTGGATACAGCGTCAGCCTGCAGACTCAAGGGTCCCAGGTTCGATTCTGACCAAGGGCATGTACCTTGGATGCGAGCACATCCCAGTAGGGTGTGTGCAGGAGGTAGCTGATCGGTGTTTCTCTCTCATTGATGTTTCTGGCTCTTTATCCCTCTCCCTTCCTCTCTGTAAAAAATCAATGATACACACACACACACACACACACACACACACATATATATAATTTTTTAAATTGATTTTTAGAGAGGGAGAGGGAGAGAGAAATAGAAACATCAATGATGAAAGAGAATCATTGATTGGCTGCCTCCTGCACGCCCCCTACTGGGGATTGAGCCTGCAACCCAGGCTTGTGCCCTTGGCCAGAATCGAACCTGGGACCCTTCAGTCCGCAGGCTGATGCTCTATCCACTGAGCCAAACCAGCTAGGGCTCATCATTGATGTTTCTCTCTCTCTCTCCCTCTCCCTTCCTTTCTGAAAAACAAACAAATAAATAAATAAATTAAACTGGCCCTGCATGAAAAACAGGCCCAACCACGCCGTGAGCCCAGTCTAAGAAGAGGGGACACGAGCAGATGAACACCATTTCCCTTTGTCACTATGGCCACTTCTCCACCAGCTCCCTGGGGAGCAGGCACCGCTCTGGAGTTAGGACAGCCACCCTGTCCCTCCCCGATTCTGTCTGCACATGTCAGGGCTGATTCTACAGAACAAATCTGAGGTCCCAGGGGAACCGGCGGCTCAGAGAGCGGGGAGGGACAGCCCTTCTGTGCTTGGCCCGGTGCTCGCCTGCCCGGAGGTGGGACACGGAGGAAGGCCAGCTGTGTTTTCAGCGGGGACACACACACACACACACACACTGCACGTGACACCGCGGTGCTCGGTCAGCACCCAGCCAGCTGTGTCTATGTATGGAGACCATGACCTGCAGTAGCAGGCCATCCATGTGTGCATGTGGAGACCATGATGCCTGACGCTCAGCAGCCATCCAGCCGCATGTGCGTGTGGAAAACACTCGGATGCCCGGGTCCTGGACAGCTCCCTCCGTGTGTGTGCCCAGGCCTGCTGTCCCCACAGCCTGCAGTGCAGACACCCCCTTATCCACCCTGTCAAGGACCTCCAGGCTGCGTGCAGGAGGGGCCTGCTGCCAGTGCCCCCAGGACCCGGGAGAGGGGCGCACAGACCTCATTGATGCTGATCTCGGCCTCCACGTACTGCAGCCCCTTCTGCAGGATGGAGATGAGGGCGGCGGGCGGCACCAGCGTCCCATTGATGTTCGACTGGCTGATGTGGCTCTCGATGCCGAAGGTGAACGCCGAGTGGGAGAAGCCTGCGGCCGGACAGGGGAGGCGGGGCGTGAGCCTGGAGGCAGGCAGAGGCACAGCCACGAGCATGGAGGGCACCGGGGCCTCACCCGCCTCATCCATGCAGGACCCCCCAGCTCTGGTGTGGGGGGAAGCGGGCAGGGCTAGGGGAGACACAGGCCCTGGAAGACCCACATTCGCCCAGGATGGAAAACAGCTTTGGGGGTACAGCCATCTCAGCTTCATTTTTATTTATTTTTCATTGATTTCAGAGAGGAAAGGAAAGAGAGAGAGAGAGAGAGAGAGAGAGAGAGAGAGAGAGAGACATCAATGATGAGAGAGAACCATAGGTCAGCTGCCCGCTGCACACCCCCTGAGCCCCAAACCCGATGAGGACATTCAGAAAGGAATAGCCCAGCCTGGCTGCAAGCCTCGCTGGTTGAAGGCTGACCTATGAACCAGGAGGTCACAGTTGATTCCCAGTCAGGGCGCAGGCCTAGATTTTGAACTCGATCCCCAGTGGGGGGATTGGAGGGATGCAGGAGGCAGCCAAGCAATGATTCTCTCATCACTGATGTTTCTCTCCCTCTCCCTATTCCTCCCTCTCTGAAATCAATAAAAATGTATTTTAAAAAAGGAGCATCTCAGCCCTGGCCAGTTTGGCTCAGTGGATAGAGCATTGGCCTACAGACTGAAGGGTCCTGGGTTTGATTCCGGTCAAGGACATATACTTTGGTTGCAGGCACATCTCCAGTTGGAGGTGTGCAGGAGGCAGCTGATGGATGTTTCTAACTCTCTTTCCCTTTCTCTCTGTAAAAAAAAATGAATAAAATATATTAAAAAAAGAAAAAAAAAGGAGTATCCCAGCCCAGCTGGCCTCGGTGAGGTGCACGTTAATGCTGGATTTAGCACCACACAAAAGGACACGATGTCCGAGCCAAGTAGGACGAACTCCAGGAACACTTGGCTTCCTCTCAGAAAACAAACCAGCAGAGTTCACCACATTGGAAAGAGAAAGGTTCTGGAACCAGATGGCGGGCCTGAATCCCAGCTTTCTGCCTTGCTGTGGTGTGACTTAGGGAACTCAGCACCCTGCCCACACCCTGGGTTTCTCCTTGTAAAAGGGGGAACAGCTCAGCCTGCTTCCTGGCTGTTAGTCGTTTCAGCTGAGACATACTTGGAATCACGCCTGGACACAGTAGGTGCTCAATAAATGTGAGCTACACACCCCTGTACCAGGAGGTTGTCCCCGGGAGGAAGCGCGATCCCGCCCAGATGTCCACAGTACGAGGCTGAGAAACCCTGACCTTCACGAATCACCTCAAAGCCTTTATTTTTATTTTTAAAAATAAATCTTTATTGTTCAGATTATTACAGGTGTTCCTCTCCCCCCGCCCCCCGCCCCATAGCTCTCCTACACCTGATTCCCCACTCCACCCCATGCCCTTAACCCCAGCCACTATCCTCATCCACAGGTCTAAGACTTTTGTCCAATCTCTTCCCACACCCTTCAGCTCCCCTTCCCCCTGTGAATTGTCCCTGATTTCATCATATTCACCAGTCCACTCTGTTCATCAAACTTTTTATTCACTTGATTTTTAGATTCACTTGGTAGGTTTGTATTTGATATCTTTTTGTTTACCTTTTTCTTCTTCTTCCACTTCTTAAAGAATACCTTTCAGCATTTCATGTAATCCTGGTTTGATGATGAACTCCTTTAACTTTTTCTTGTCTGTGAAGTTCTTTATCTTACCTTCAATTCTGAATGATAGCTTTGCTGGGTAGAGTAATCTTGGTTGTAGGTTCTTGCTGTTCATCATTTTGAATATTTCTTGCCACTCCTGTCTGGCCTGCATAGTTTCTGTTGAAAAATCAGCTGACAATTGTATAAGTTCCCTTTATAGGTAACTAGCTGATTTCTCTTGCTGCTTTTAATATTCTCTCTTTGTCTTTTGCCCCTGGCATCTTAATTATGATTGGTGTGGTCCTCTTTGGATTCTTCTTGTTTGGGGTTCTGTGCGCTTCCTGAACTTGTAAGTCTATTTCTTTCACTAGGTAGGGAAAGTTTTCTGTCATTATTTATTGTAATATGTTTTCAATTTTTTGTCTCTCTTCTGGCACCCCCAAAATTTGGATGTTGGTACACTTGAAGTTGTCCCAAAGGCTCCTTACACTATCTTCATATTTTTTAATCCTTTTTTCTTTTTGTTTTACTGTTTGGGTGTTTTTTGTTTCCTCATATTTCAGATCTTTGGTTTGATTCTTGGGGTACAGTTGAGTTTCTGTATATTCTTTATTTCAGACAGTGTATGCTTAATTTCTGACTGGTCCTTTTCCATTTTTTTAGTATTCTCATTAAGGTCCTTGAAGGTCTCATCAAGTTTCTCAGCAGTTTTTAGAAGATTCTTGAGTAACCTTATAAATGTGGTTTTGAACTCTATGTCGTCCCATAGCTTGCTTTCCTCCATTTCTTTCATTAGTGACATGCTTCTGTGTCTCCTCATTTTGGCTGCCTCCCTTGTTGATGGAGTGGCTTTTTGTGGTCGGTGACCTATAAGGGCCAGTAGCTCAGCCTCCCCAATCACCTGAGGTGGACGCTCTTGGTACACCCTTTGTGGGCTGAGTGAAAAGTCTTGGTGTAGTTAAGCCTTGATTGCTGTTGGTACACTGGGAGGAATTGACTTCCAGGCCAATTGGCTGTGGGGATCCGCTGTGTCTATAATGGAAGAACTGCTGTGCTGGAGACATCCTTATGGTGCAGGAATTGTTTCAGTGGGGCTTTGGTGCTGAGTCTGCCTCTTGAATGTGACACTTATGGATGTGAAGAGTTGAAATCTGGTGTCTCACACTGACCACTAGGTACACTGGCTTCTGGATCTCCAATGGGGTGCAGGTCAGCTACTGTCTGAGGCCACCCTGCAGGAGCTACAGCGAGAACTAGTTTTCTCCTCTTTGCTTGGAGGTTTGGGAGCTGCCTAAACTGGGTTGCGATGGAGAGATTCATATGCAAAAGCCGCTGCTTGGAGCTTGCGTGTGTTTGTAGGTTGTGCAAGGCAGGATCTCAGGGGGCCACTAGATTAAGTTAGAAAGGTGTTTCCCCACAAGAAGGTGCATTTCCCCACAGGAAGAAGGGTTTCCCCCCAGTAAGGAGTTTTTCCCCACAGAAAAATGCACTTCCACCTCAAGAAGGGTTCCCCTACAGGGAGAAGGGTTCCCTCACAGGAAGGTGGATTCACCCCACAGGAAGAGTTCCCACACAGGCAGGTGCATTTCCTGCAAAGGAAGGTGCGTTTCCTTAAAGGAAGATGGGTTCCCCAAAAACAAGATGTGTTTCCCACAAAGGAAGATGTGTTTTCCCAAAGAAAGGTGCATTTATGCAACAGGAAGAATGTTTTCCCCAAAGGAAGTTGCATTTCCCCCACAGGAAAGAGTTCCCTCTCAGGAAGTGTTTTCCCCACAGGAAGGTGCTTCTCCACCACAGGAAGAAGGTGTGTTCCTCCCATAGGAAGGTGTGTCCCCCCCCGGAAGATTAGGTTCTCACAAAGGAAGGTGCATTTCCCCCAAAGAAAGCAGTGTTCCCCGAGAGGAAGATGTATTCCCTCACAGGAAGCTGTGTTCTCTTACAGGAAGGTGCGTTCCTCCCACAGGAAAGTGTGTTCCCTACCCCCCACAGGAAGATCAGGTTCCCCCACAGGAAGATAGGTTCCCCTAATGGAAGGTGCATTTTCTCCAAAGGAAGAAGTGTTCCCCTACAGGAAGATGTATTCCACCACAGTAAGATGTGTTCCCCCACAGAATAATGGGTTCCCTCATAGGAAAGTGTGTTCCCCCTACCCCCACCTCCCCACAGGAAGATGGGCATCCCTACAGAAAGGTGCATTTCCCAAAAGATACATGTTTTCCCTCATTGGAAGGTGTGTTCCTACACAGGAAGGAGCATTTCCCCACAGGAAGGTGTCTTTCCCCTACAGGAAGATGCGTTCTACCATAGGAAGGTGTGTTTCCCCCAAAGGAAGAAGTGTTCCTCCAGAGAAAAATATGTTTCCCTACAGGAAGCTGTTTTCTCTCACAGGAATGTATGTTCCTCCCACAAAAAGGTGTGTTTCCACAAAAGATACATGTGTTCCCTCACAAAAAGGTGCCTTTCCCCCACAGGAAAATGAATTCCCCAGCAGGAAGATGCGTTGTCTCACAGGAAGGTGTGTTGCCCCCACTGGCATGAGTATTCCCCCTACAGGAAGGTGCGTTTCCCCCACAGGAAGATGCATTCCCCTACAGGAAGGTGTGTTTCCCCAGAGAAAGGTGTTTTTCCTTGACAGAAAGGATTTCCATACAGGAAGATGAATTTCCCCCATAGGAAGTTGAGTTCCCCCCACCGGAAGATGTTTTCTCTCACAGAAGGGTGTGTTTCCCCCACAGGAAGATTAAGTTCCCACAAAGGGGTAGGTATGAAGTAGGTTTCCTCAAAAGGATGATGAATCGCCCCCACAGGAAGTTGAGTTTCCTCCACCAGAAGATGTGTTTCTTCACAGGAAGGTGTTTCCCCCACAGGAAAAAGGGTTCCCATACAGGAAGGTGCCTTTCCCCCACAGAAAGATGTTTTCTCTCACAGGAAGTTGCGTTTCCCTCACAGGAAGGTTAGATCCCCACAGGAAGGTGTGTTCTTCACAGGAAGGTGTGTTTACCCCACAGAAAGATAGGTTCCCCTAGGGGAAGATATGTCATTCTACAGGAAGCTGTTTTCTCTCACAGGAAGGTGCATTCCTCCCACAGAAAGGCGTGTTTCCCCAAAAGGTACATATGTTCCCTCACAAAAAGGTGCCTTTCCCCCACAGGAAAATGAATTCCCCAGCAGGAAGATGTGTTGCCTCACAAGAAGGTGCCTTGCCCCACTTGGTATGTGTTCCCCCCACAGGAAGAAAAGGTTCCCCCACAGGAAGATGTATTACCCTAATAGGAAGACGTGTTCCCGCACAGCTGTTGTCACCACACAGCAAGATTAGGTTCCCCAACAGGAAAATAGGTTCCCACACAGGAAGATGTATTTCCCCTTCAAGAAAAAGGGTTCCCGTATAGGAAGGTGCATTTTCCCCACAGGTAGGTGCATTTCCCAACAGTAAAATGCGTTCGCCCGGGAAGATGTGTTTCCCCCATAGGAATATTAGGTTTCCCCACAGGAAGTTAGGTTCCCACACAGGAAGGTGTGTTTCCCCCAAAGAAAGAAGTATTCCCCAACAGGAAGGTGCATTTCCCCCACAGGAAGATGTGTTTCCTCAAAGGAGGGTGCATTCCCTTATAGGAAGGTGCCTTTCCCCCACAGGAAGAAGATTTTCCCCATAGGGAGGTCTTTTTCTCCACAGGAAGGTGCATTTCCACCACAGGAAGAAGGGTTCCCTCAAAAGAAGGTATGTTTCCCTCACAGGAAGATGTGTTTCCCCACAAAAAGATGTGTTTCCCCCACAGGAAGATTAGGTTTCCCCACAGGAAGTTAGGTTTCCACACAGGAAGGTGTGTTTCCCCCAAAGAAAGAAGTATTCCCCAACAGGAAGGTGCATTTCCCCCATAGGAAAGTGCATTTCCCCGACAGGAAGGTGAGTTTCCCCCACAGGAATGTGAGTTTCCCCCACAGAAGGGGAGTGGCTTTACCTGACTCCTGGAGGTAGCGATACACCAGGAAGTTCACCTCGTCGCTGGTTATGCTCATCTTAGCCTCACCTCCCAGCCACGAGGTCTGTGGAAGTGAGGGCTACCCTCTGGGAGATAGGAGAAAATGGAGAGTTTTCAAACATGTCTGTATTTCTTTTTTCTTCTGCACTTAAAAAGTTTTTATTTTTATTGTTTCTAGAGATGAAGGGAGAGGGGGAGAGAGAGAGAGAGAGAGAGAGAAACATCGATGATGAGGGAGAATCATAAATAGGCTGCCTCCTGAACGCCCCTTACTGGGAATCGAGCCCACAACCCCAGGTATGTACCCTGACCAGAAGGGAGTCGATCCCTGACCTCCTGGTTCATAGGTAGATGCTCAACCACTGAGCCACGCCAGGCTTTTGTCTGCACTTTTTGAGAGAGTGGAAGAAAGCAACTCCCATGACGTTATATCCATGAAGCTAACTTATGTCTGGTTCGTGTTATATTGCGTAATCATGTGCTACACACAAATTTCACAATTATTTATACAAAAAGAATATATCCCTCCTAGCCGGTGCTACTCAATGGTAGAACATTGGCTTGGGCACACAATGGTCACGGGTTCGATTCCTGGTCAAGAGCACATACCAGGTGGCAGGTCTGATCCCTGGCTCCCTGGTCGGAGTGAATGCAGGAAGCAACCAATCCATGTGTCTCTCACATTGGTGTTTCTTTCCTTCTCTCTCTCTCTCTTCCTCTCTGCCCCCTTCCCTCTAAAAATCAATGGAAAAATATCCTCAGGTGAGGATTAAGAAAAAATAAAGAAAAAGCATACATCCGGGTGAAATATATCCAATAACAAGAAACACTGCTGTATTCATGAGGCTGGGATAGGGTCAGGTACAAGCCACACCTTTGACCGGCCGAGCCAGCCAGAGGGACAAGCCATACAGACTCTCCTTTTCACACACACACACATGGCGAGAATGACAGAGAGTGGTTCTGGTCTTCAGCGACGTGCCAAACAGTCCATGGACCCGGAGCGGCTGTGCGTATGGACAAGGTGGCCTTCGTCTTCTCCGTAAGAAAAGTCTCAGCCCTGGCCGGTGTGGCTCAGTGCATACAGCATCTGCCTGTGGACCGAACCAGGTTCAATTCCGGTCAAGGGCATGTACCTTGGTTGCAGGCTCTTCCCCAGCCCAGGCCATGGTCGGGACTCGTGCAGGAGGCAAGCAACCCATCGCTGTGTCTCACATGGATGTTTCTCTCTGTCTCTCCCTTTCTCCTCCACTCTCCCTAAACATCAATGGGAAAATACCCTCGGGAGAGGATTAAAAGAAGAAGAAGAATAGAAAAAGAACGGGCTCAGGCAGACCTGTCACCTCCACACTAAGGGCAGCAGCCTGCTGGGGGGAGCTAGTCGTGAGGGCTGAATGCTTCACATCCCAGGCCAGGCCCCCGCCCAGCAGGCCCCAGAAGAGCCAGCGAAGACTTCATTCGGCCACCTGAGCACCCCGCAAGGGCCTCCTGGGCTGCGGTCGGCCAACTCATTAGCCCACAGGGCCAAACAGCAACAGGACAACGATCGGCATTTCTTTTGAGAGCCAAATTTTTTACACTTCAACTATGTAGGCAGGTACATTGTTATTAACTTAATCGGGGTCCTCCCAAGCTGGCCTTTGCTAAAAACTCAAGGGGCCCAAGAGCCGCATGGGGTTTGGGGCCACGGTTCTAGGGGATCAGCGGACACCCCTTCCTGACCACTCCTAAAATCCAAGAGCTGGTGGCCTCAGCACCGTGAGCTCAGGGTTTGATTCCTGATCAGGGCACAGGCCCAGGTTGTGGGCTTGACCCCCAGTAGGGGGCATGCAGGAGGCGGCCCATCAATGTTTCTCTCAATGTTTCTATCTTTCCCTTGCTCATTTTTAAAGAAGAGGAAGAGGAGAATGAGGAAGAGGAGGAGGAGGAAGAAGAGGAGGAGGAAGAAGAGGAGGAGGAAGAGGAGGAAGAGGAAGAGGAAAAGAAGAAGAAAAAAAGAAGCAGCAGCAGCAGCAGCTGGGGACTTGGACCCCCTCCAGGCCCAGCTTGGGAACCGGGACCCGCCTGCCCGCAGCGCCAGGGGACGCTGTCCGCCTCTTTTCTTTCTGAAGCAAAGAGAGCTTTCCAGCAGCGGCAGGTCCCCGGGGCCTTGAACGGAAGTGAGAAACAAAACAGATGGAAACCGAAAGGTCCAATTAGCGGGTGCCGGCCGTGTTCTCGCCTGACCCAGTTCTGACTGGAGACGCCAGTGAGGGCGATGGGAGGGCTCCGCGGCCCGGATGGGAGGGAGCCAAGAGGAACAGCCCTTCCACGCGGACCCACGGCCACCACGGCCCAGCGTGCTGCTCAGAGGGGGGCTCACACGTCCCTGCCAGCTGGCGGCTGCGCTGGAGCTGCCCCTCTAAGCACAAGGATTCCAACACAAATAATAATTTGGGCTTAAAGCTCATCAACAAACTGGAGGGAGCCCTAGCCAGTTTGGCTCAGTGGATAGAGCGTCGGCCTGCGGAGTGAAGGGCCCCAGGTTCGATTCCGGTCAAGGGCACAGACCGGGGTTGTATGCTCGATCCGCAGTAGGGGGCGTGCAGGAGGCAGCCAATCATTTCCCTCTCATAATTCATGTTTGTTTTTTTCTCTCCCTTAATGGACTGGGCAGAGTGCTGATTTCATTTTGTACACACACACACACACACACACACACACACACACTCCGCAAAGCAAGCCTCTTTGGAGTGGGTCCTATCCGTCTATGGAGTCTGTGCTCTTCCATGATTTGCAGATTTCCTCCTGGGAACTCGGCCCGCTTTCCTGTTCATTCAAACCCAATTAAAGCCGAAATCGGTGTGGCTCAGTGGATAGAGCGTCGGCCTGCGGACTGAAGGGTCCCGGGTTCGATTCCCGATCAAGGGCATGGACCTTGGTGGCGGGCACATCCCCAGTGGGGGGCGTGCAGGAGGCAGCTGGTCGATGTTTTTCTGTCATCATCGATGTTTTGGGGGGGGGGAGGGCCCCGCTTACCTTCACGGTGCCTTCATGTGGCCTCTTCGCACTGGTGGGCCCCCAGCATCCGAGCACAGAGCCCGCAGCCTCTGTCTGGGGGGACACGGAGAGGTCTGTAAGCACAAAGCAGCCCACAAACCTGTGGGCGCATTCGCCTCTCCCCTCTCCCCGTCGCTCTGTTTAATCCTTCAGATCGATGCCGGGGTTCCTTCTTCACCCCAACCCAGACGTAACCCAGTCTGCCGCCTCATCGTCTCCGAGGTAAACGTGAGCACAGACTAGGGAGCTGGTTAGCCGGTCAGCCCGGCCGGCATGGCTCAGTGGAGAGCGTCGGCCTAGGAACCAGGAGGTGAGGGTTCGATTCCCGGTCAGGGCACAGGCCCGGGCTGCGGGCTCCATCCCCAGTGGGGGGCGTGCAGGAGGCAGCCGGTCTGTGATTCTCTCTCCTCATGGGTGTTTCTTCCTCCCTCTCTCCCTCCTCCCTCCGGAACCAATAAAAACATATATTTTAAGTAGCCTGTCAAATTATTATGCCACTTGTAGAAAGTCTGAATGCTACAATTCTCACAGTAGGTGCCATTGCTTTTAGCTCAGACAGACTGTCACTTAGTGAGAAAATGCCGCTCTGAACACCTCTGGGCACCGGGCCGCACGCCCTCCACGGGAGAGAGCTCGCTCTAGCGGTGCCCACCGGCAGGCCTCTGTGTACATGCCCACCCACCTGCTGGGGAAACACAGAAACTGCACTCCAATCTTCTTTTAAAACAATGTTTGCATTGATTTCTCAAGAGAGGAAGGGAGAGGGGGAGACAGATAAAAACATCCGTGAGGCCAGAGAATCACGGATCAGCTGCCTCCTGCACGCCCCGCACTGAGGATCAAGTCTGCAACCCAGGCCTGTGCCCTGATCAGGGCTTGAACCATGACCTCCGGGGTCATAGGTCAATGCTCAACCACTGAGCCACACTGCTTAGGCCCACATTTGGGAGCTTTGCTCCCCGCTAAGGCTCCCCTAAGACATGGCAAATGGAAGGCACCAGCCCTCAGCCTCCCATTCCTGGGCCACACATGTTCAGTCCCCTGGGATTCCATCCGTCCGTCCGTCCGTCCGCACCAGTTTCTGAAGCAGCCAGGCTTCAGCCTCCTGATAGCCTTCCTGCCACACGTGCTTCTCCTTCCCAGGCCTGTGCACCCTGATCAGCCAGCCAGCGTGTCTCAGCGCCCCTCTCTTCCTCCTCCCTTCCGTTTGCTCTGGCTGTCCCCGGCTGGCTTGGCTCAGGGGAGAGAGTGTCGGCCTGCGGACTGAAGGGTCCCAGGTTCAATTCCAGCCAGGGCACAGGCCCAGGATGTGGCTCGACCCCTGTAGGGGGCGTGCAGGAGGCAGCTGATCCATGTTTCCCTCTCATGGATACTTCTCTCTCTCCCTCGCTACTTTAAAAAATCTTAATAAACATCCTCTAAAAAAAATTTTAAAAATAAAAAAATAAAAAATAAAAAATAAAATAAAGAGGATATATTAGATAAAAGAAACAACCAGGATGAATTTTTAAAAATGCAACCACTGAAAAACACACCAATAATATTCAAACATTTGCCTACAGCTTTCAGACCAAGAACCAAAGGGCACCAGAGAAAAGCAGGCACAAGGGACCACGGGTTTTGCTTATAAAGCTGAAATCATTTCATTGTGAAACTGTGCAGTGGAGACGGAACGGGACAAAACGCCTTACAGAAACCTGAAGGGAAAGCAAGTGCCTGTGTCCAGGGCTGGACTGTCCATCTGCCAGGGGAACAGCCTTATGGGGGGAACAGCCTTGTGGGGAGAACAGCCTTATGGGGGGAACAGCCTTATGGGGGGAACAGCCTTATGGGGGGAAAAGTCTTATGGGGGGGAACAGCCTTATAGGGGAACAGCCTTATGGGGGGAACAGCCTTATGGGGAGAACAACCTTACAGTGAAATTGCTAACTATCCATAAGTGTCCAAATATGAGCAGATGTCACACAATGAACCCCAAACCGCTTGAAAAGGGAGGCACTGAAACCCACAGTAATTCAGTAAGTGATTAATAGAGAAACAGTTCTTACTCCAAGCTGCTCACACACACAAAGAAAGCTTTAGACTCGAATTCTTCTTCTTTTTAATTAGGTGCAATTAACATCTTGCGTGTCCCATAAACGCCAAAAACATTGGGAAACGGGGCAGGGGTTAATGGTTCTCCTGGTGATGCAACACGGCAAAACCAATTAGTTCCTGGCCAGAAACAACACATCAAAATGAGAAACCCAACCTTCCAATCTGTCATCGCTGACCTCCCGTCATCAGTGCACAAACGGAACCACTATGGATACATGGCGCTGCCAGTATCTGTGAGAAACGCACACCACTTACACAAACACAATGCATTCTTCTGTCTGCTCGTCAGTCCTCACCTGAGAATATTTTTCCCTACTGACTTGTTTTTTTGTTTGGTACTTTAGCCAAGAATATAGTCTATACTGTCCCATTTATTTTATTTCTTAGTTTTTAAAATCTTTATTGTTGAAAGTATCACACAGGCCCAATGAGGACTGCTGTAGACACTGGGAGCTTGAAATCCGAAGATGACAGAACTTCAGTGAAGGGAACGCAAGTGTGCCGATGACACAAAAATAACCGCTCCTTTGAACACCTGGGAGCACGTGTCACACAGGGGGAACGTCACACACGGGGAACGTTAAGGTGAGAGCATGCGGACACGGGCCTGCAGACATGAGGAACCTAAAGCAAGAGCACACGGGGCGGGGGGAGGGGAGGAATCTGCTGAAACCACCCCTGCACCAGGCTGTGGGCGACCCCTTGGAGGGAGCACAGGGGACAGGCCTGTCCCTGCAGCATACCTTCCCACAGAGCTGGAAGATGGGTTTCCCCACTGGAAGGTGCATTTCCACCACAGGAAGAAGGATTCCCCCACAGGAATATGTTTCCCCCACATGAAGGTGTGTTTCCCCCACAGGAATTTGTATTTCTCCCACAGGAAGTTGTACTTCCCCCAAAGAAAGGTGCATTTCCCTGACAAGAAGTTTTATTTCCTCCACAGGAAGAAAGGTTCCCCCATAGGAAGGTGCGTTTCCCCAACAGGAAGAAGGGTTTCCCCACAGGAAGTTGTATTTCCCCCACAGGAAGAAGTGTTCCCCCAAAGGAAGAATGGTTACAACACAGGAAAGTGCGTGTCCCCCATAGGAAGAAGAGTTCCCCTACAGGAAGGTGTGTTTCCTCCACAGGAAGTAGGCTTCCCTCACAGGAAGAAGGGTTCCCCACAGAAAGGTGTGTTTCCCCTACACAAAGAAGGGTTCCCCCCACAGGAAGTAGCATTTCCCCCACAGAAAGAAAGGTTCCCCCAAAGGAAGGGTTCCACTATAGGATGTTGTTTCCTCCACAGAAAGAATCTTTACTCTACAAGAAAGTGCATTTCCCCCATAGGAAGAAGGGTTTCTCAACAAGATGTTGTGTTCCTCCCACAGAAGAATGTTTACACAACAGGAAAGTGCATGTCCCCCACAGGAAGGTGCATTTCCCCAGAGAAAGCTGTATTTCCCCCACAGGAAGAAGGGTTCCTCCACAGGAAGGAGAGATTCCCCACAGGAAGGTGTGTTTCTACCTCAGGAAGGTGTGTTTCCCCCACAGGAAGAAGGGTTCCCCACAGGAAGGTGCATTTCCCCCACAGGAAGGTGTGTTTCACCAACAGGAGAAGGGTTCCTCACAGAAAGGTACATTTTCCCCACAAGAAGAAAGGTTCCCCCACAGGAAGCTGTATTTCCCACACAGGAAGAAGGGATTTCCACAGGAAGGTACATTTCCCCAACAGGAAGTTGTATTTCCCCCACAGGAAGGTGCATTTCCCCCACAGGAAGGTGTGTTTCCTCCACAGGAAGAAGGGTTCACGCAAAGGAAGTTGTATTTCTCCCAAAAAGGTGTGTTTGACCCAGAGGAAGAAGGATTCCTCACAGGAAGGTGCATTTCCACCACGGGAAGGTGTGTTTTACCCACAGGAAGTTGTATTTTCCCCACAGGAAGAAGCGTTCCCCCACAGAAAGTTGTATTTCCCCCAGAGGAAGGTGTGTTTAACCCACAGGAAGTTGTATTTTGCCAAAAGGAAGAAGAGTTCCCACACTGGAAGGTGCATTTCCCCCACAGGAAGTTTTACTTCCCGCAGAGGAAGAAGGGTTACCCAAAGGAAGGTGCATTTCGTCCACAGGACGAAGAGTTCCCCCACAGGAAGTTGTATATCCCTCATAGTAAAGTGTGCTTCCCCTACAGGAAGAAGGGTTCCTCGCAGGAAGGTGCATTTCCCCCACAAGAAAGTGTGTTTCCCCCATACGAAGAAGGGTTCCGCATAGGAAGGTGCATTTCCCCCACAGGAAGGTTCATTGCCCCACAGAAAGTTGTATTTCCCCCACAGAAAGGTGTGTTTCTACCACAGGAAGAAGGGTTCCTTACAGGAAAAAGCGTTCCCCTGCAAGATGTTGTATTTCCCCTACAGGAAGGTGTGTTTCCCCAACAGGAAGAGAGGTTCCTCACAGGAAGATGCATTTCCCCCACAGAAAGTTGTATTGCCCCCACAGGAAGAAGCGTTCCCCGACAGGAAGTTGTATTTCCCACACAGGAAGGTGTGCTTCCCCAACAGGAAGTTGTATTTCGCCCAAAGGTAGAAGAGTTCCCACACTGGAAGGGGCATTTACCCCACAGGAAATTGTATTTCCCCACAGGAAGAAAAGATTACCTCAAGAAGGTACATTTCCCCCACAGGAAGTTTTATTTCCCCCAGAAAGAAGGGTTACCCGAGAAGAAGATGCATTTCGTCCACAGGACAAAGAGTTCCCCCACAGGAAGTTGTATTTCCCCCATAGAAAGGTGTGCTTCCCCCACAGGAAGGTTCACTGCCCCACAGAAAGTGGTATTTCCCCCACTGGATGGTGTGTTTCCCCCACAGGAAGAAGGGTTTCCCACAGAAAAAAGCGTTCCCCACAGGAAATTGTATTTCCCCTTCAGGAAGGTGTGTTTCCCTCACAGGAAGAAGGGTTCCTCAAAGGAAGGTGCATTTACCCTACAGGAAGTTGTATTGCCCCCACAGGA